TTATGCACTTACGCATACCACCTGATCCCCCAGGTGGTGATGTGAGGCTCACTGGCTAGAAGAACCGGTACTACCCACTAAAACCCGACATTCCCCTCCCCTCCGCCTTAGTGGGACGCCGCAGGATCGCTTGCGCATAACTACTACGGCGCCCCGGCGGCAGGTCTGCCTACGGCTGGCCACCAAACCAATGGGGCTGCTCCACAGTCAACTCTGCTACACCAAAGAGGTACCCGGAGCAGCCCCATTAACGCAAACCTCCGCTCACCGAAGTGGGCCACCTCGAATCGGCTGCAGAGGACAGGGAGAGCGGCAACGAAACACCGACACTCCTCTTCTCCTGCAGCCCCACCGCGTCCGCCATTGAACGGTGGCGGCCCCGTCAAGGCCGCGGAAGGTAGGGAGAACGGCGCACCGAAATACCGGCACTCCTCTCCCGCCGCGGCCTACTCCTCCGCCGGATGCGGGCCTGCCACCACAGTCTCGCAACCGGAACCTATCATCCGGTTGTGGGACCAAAGCGGCCACCGAGGTGGCCGCAACGTCTTTGGCCGAACCTTTCGGATCGACGCCTAGACGAGCGGCCCCACCAAGCCATTTGGTCCGCGCCGGATTTCTCTGGTACCACCCGCCGCTCAGGTACAGCGGGTGGCGTTCCCCGATCCGCCACCTGGGGACGCAGCCAGTAGGAGTTGGCTTCTCCCCCGGGAACTTCAATTTATCTTAAATTATCTACTCTGTGTAAATAATTTGACTATTCAAATTTAAGAAGTTCTATTTTTAAACAGCAAACACTTTTATAGCAGAAAAAAACAAGAAATTGTGTTTTAAAATTATTTTAGCATGTTGTATTATTTTTTTTTGAAAGTCCTTATGAAAAATGTCAGGATAATCTACAGAACTTTGCACCCATTTAAATCTCAATTCTTTTGTCTGTGAAGCTGACAACCACGCTTATTCTTAACATTGAACTTGGCCCCCATTTTCACATTTATGTTTTGATGCGATATCATGACTTTTTGTGAAGAAACTATTATTATTCGTAATTCCAATGTGACATGTGAATTCATTTTTTTTCATATTTTTGCGACTATTCGTTAACAGATAAGGTGGAATAGGAAAATGTTATTTAATCATCATGAATCATGATGGAACCTTTTCTCGTAAGAAAGAAAAAGTTTTAGCTATTACTATGATTGCTATTATATTTCAAAGGGCACTAGGTGTTAAGCTATTGCTATTATGTTTTGGAAGGCGCAAGGTGATAATAAAAATTAATTTAATATTTTTTTCAAATTTAAAAAAAAATACTGTTTTCGGTTTTTTTCCTTTGTATGCACACGATTACTAATCTGGACACCAAATTTCAACTTCCTACGTCATCTGGAAGTATGTTAGGTTTTACTACTATTGTCAGTCAGTCAGTGATAAAAATGACGAATTTTAGACCTAGAGTTAATATCTCAATAACCGTTTGAGCTGTTTTTATGAAATTGGGAATTCTAGTTAATCTAAGGGGATTTAATAAATGAACCAAACATCAAGACTTTATGTTAAATAGATTTTGAGTTATTACGAGGTGAGAAGTGGCTCCAAATGGTTCGTGTAAATATACACAAGGTGCTGCGTCGCCAGTTCCTTTGGCTTGAACTTGGCTGGACACGCTACCGCGTGTCTTAATAGGTGAGATGTTTAGTATAATCTTGTCTCTTGAGAATGTCGTGCGCATTTTGTTTAAAAATGGAATTTAATAATTTTAAATTAGTAAAAATATGATTCTTTAGAACTTATTTAAGACTAAATAATTGCAAATGAACTTAAACTTTGTTTGCATTCTTCTTTTTTGTTATGATGAAATTGTTTTTTTTTTTTGCCTTTGCCATACCTTTAAAATAAAAATTATTTATAGATATTTCTTTTTTATTTTAAATAACACTATCTTTTTAGCGATGATTGCTGTAAAGCATTCGAAACGCCGGGAACCAAAAATCTAAATAAATCCGAAAAGATAGTTTTATTAAAATAGTGATAACTTATTACTCGGGTCAACATTTGAGATAACCTTTTACTGCATGAAAATCTTTCATTCTAACGCCAAAACATATTAACTGATTCTATCGTGTCGTTCTTAGAAATTTACATGTCTAATGCTGGTTAAATCTTAAACAGATACATTAAAACAATGTACTAGGAAATTGTAGGGCTTAATAAAGCCTACAGAAAAATCTGCAATAGCATAAGTATTCCTAATAAGGTACACTTGGACTTGCATTAACTATAATTCTTATCTATTTAAAAGATATCTAGGGACGCAGCCGATCGAAGCGAGGGTACGTCGCTAGTGTATTATAATTAATTGTCTTACTATAAATGCCATTCATAGAATTAAACTTTTTTTAAATCTTGTTCATCTACATTTTTAGCTACTAAGGTCGGTGCCAGCCGATACAAATTAAAGCACACCGACTTCGAAAATATCTCATTAGGTATCTACTCTAAATGAAAATCCCTGATTTGTTATATTTGACTTTTTAACCCCGACGGAAGGACCGATTTTGATGCCGTTTCTTTCAGTTGAAAGCCAATTTCTTTAATGTGGTTCTTAGCTATGTTTGGTTAATATCGGTCCAGCAGTGTAAGAGTATCAGCTCTTTTCTAAAATGATTTAAGGCATTTTGGCGTACGATTACTCGATTAATTGCTTCACGCGTGCCATTATAATCGTTAAATTACAATTAATTTGCGTAGGAGGCTTTTAAAACCTTTAATTTTTTAGCGCCTGGAAGTCGGTTTTTATTTTTCCATTTTTAGTGTAGACGCAATAAGCAGGTAATTTGTAAGAAAGTTTTTTAAAAACATATTCGATTAAGCTATTTATTAAAAATAATTTATTGTTGATTTCTTAAAAAACCGCTCGATCGATTTCGATAAAATTTAAATGGTACCACCTGGGAAGTATACCCTTTAAAACAAAAAAAATCCAAATCGGTTCAGGTGTCTTCGAGTAATGGGTAAACGAAACGAAATCCAAAAAAAACGAAGATTCTGACGAATTGACAACCTCCACCTTTTTGAAAGTCGGTTGAAAATATATCATTTTTATAATGTTAATTTTGTCGACTTCCGGAGTGCATTGTGCCATTACCCAACTATTGGCTAGCAAATACTTGTAGCAATGCTTTCTATGATGGGTTCACAAGTTCAGTTCTATCATTGGGTAAATACGAGTTTGTATGAACTATTTATTATAACTTCGAGTTTTATGGTTTAAATAAATATTTAATTAATATTTGTTATATTTACTGCACCATTACCATATGAAAATTAATATATTATTCTTATATATCAGTTAACACTTGATTATGTTATTATAAGAAAAAGCTCGTTGGACTGGTATCAAACGGAAACGGTCGTTGACATATATTTATAAATTTTCTTAGTGACTGAAACTGGTTGTGGAGTGTCTTGGCACTGATATTTGTTCGGTAAATACCTATACAGTCTAATGTTTTAGATAAAATAACAAAGTTCTACGTTATTCCTAAAAGTAAATGTCAATAGTTCTAGAAAATTTATTTAAAATATGATCGTAGCCTACAAAGAAGAAGAGAGAAAATAATGAGATATGAAATGTTCACCATTTTATTATAGAAGGCCTACAGAATGTGCAATATGTAGGTAAGATATTTAAACGAGTAATAGTCAAATTTGCAAGTGCGTGTGCGCCACAAATAGCTTGTTCTCTATACAAACCGTCCGGCTAAAAGAGTCGTGTTGTCCTATTCTAAAGAACAGAGTGAGCAGGACAACGTTAGATCGGACGAATAGCAGTAAAATATTTAAGGCAAATGGTTTACTCATGTCGGTAAATGTAATAACCACACGAAAACCAGGCTCTGTTTATGTAGTTAAAATATGCGTAAATTTACTTTGTTTAAACTTTAAGGTACGTGTTGAACTATATAGTATTAGGTGTATATTGTACCTACCTATACTTATAAATAGTTGAATGCATGCCTAACAACAGAGAGAACACTTATTGACAAAGCCCATTATTTTTGACGGTATATTATGGAAGTCGTTAGAAATGTAATGAGATCATTACATTATGAGTAATACGTTCGTAATAATGCGGCTTATATTGTTTTATTATAAACAAGTTAGTATAGCTAGTTATTTATTCCTAGATCTGTTCAACAGCTTCCTACGCTTTCTTAAGGAGGTCATGTAGGTATTGTAATATATGGTATGAGTATTATTTTTTAGGTCAATAGTGTACAAGTAGACATAACATTTTATTTTAAAATTATGAAAAGAGCATTATTGCTTTAATAAGAAATTAAGTAGGATACAACTACTCAATAGAGCTTAATGTTGATGTTGCACGTGTGTAACAGATACTACTGTATTTTATACGTATTGCTCGCGTGTGCGTTTGTTCGGTGCCACTTGTTGCTCGGGAGTCGGTGTCGGGTTCGTGAACTGCCGCATTTATAAAAGGAAATTATGGCCTGTTTATAAGGTCCTTCACTGAGCTCACACACATTAAGGGATCGACTTCAGGTAGCGTTGCTTTGTTTGTTCTTAGACAACAATATTTTTCCAGGGTATGAAATACACTTAACATAATCTTATTTTTTTATTTATTATAAAAAATAATAGTTTTTTAAAAGAAAGATAAAGTTTATCACATAAATCAGATATATTTTGTAAGTCCAATCTATAAGTATTTTTTTTAATTATATCACTCATTTGTAAACATTAATTTTTTAGACTGAATGCTAGGTATATTGCCTTTACTTTCTGTGGTAATTTAAACAATGTTTAAAATAACATAGTTCATCTTATTAACGAAGACAAATTACAAAACTTTAACAAGCGTTTGATAATAATTAATTAATTATTAAATGTAAGTAATGTTATGAAAGGTTGCTGATGCTTGAGACTTAAGACAGTACGCACCACATGCTGTGATCACTTAATTATCCAAATATTATTACCTTATTGTGAGGAATCGAACAGTTAATATACATCCGAGAAGGGTGTTTCGCCGGGACACATTCGCAATATTGTAATTCACACACACTCGTACCATATTCGGCCGTCACAAAGGCGCTTAGCGCCAGAAGCGAGAACACCGCGGGGAATCGCGACATCTTGCCGGGCTGCAGCGCGACTAACCGCGCGCTACGACCGGCATGCACAGACTGCCTTACGCAGTACGCACTCAACTACGGAAAGTCGAGCGCGAGTGCGGAGCGTCCACTACCGCGACCGTCAAACTTTGTAGACGCTGGTTTATCGATAGTGATGCCTTTTATTAAAGCAAGCCCTAATTATCGATATCGATATTCAATTAGTGACGTTCCGCATATAATTACTAATTGGCATAGACACGAGCACTTTTAATTTGGTTATTGTAATTATTAGTAAAGCAAAATTAAGATAATTATAATTAGATAGTATTTATCATAACTACTTTACATTCTTATGTTCTACTAATGTGCTCATATTTAATTATAATAATAACACATACTTTGGTATTCGTTTTTGAAATTGAAGTCATCTTCGATGAATAATTTGCAATTTTGGGAATGATATTCATATATAAGCATTTCCAGAATGCGAACATCAAAGCTATTTTTCAGAACTTAATATTTCTCTCTATATTATTTTTTATTAGATATGTCTCTGGTATGCCTCTTTTTGACACATCTACCACAATTTCCTCGGACAATACCTACCGTTATAACATTGAGAAATTTACCAAATTATATTCTTACTTATAAATAACATAGAACTTATTTTACTAAATATAATATAGGTATCTCAAGCACATAACCAATAAGCGTTAGCTTCTTTTGTTTTCCCATGTCTTTTTAAGAAATAATTATAATTAGTCTTTACTCTGCGGCTATTGTCTAAACATCATTATTATTAGTTAAATCTAAAGGCCTAAAAGATAATTTAATAAACACACCAGCTTATGTGTAAGTGTGCTAAATCCTAAATTAATTATCATTCCCATTTAACTTTAAATGTAAGTTATTAGAAGATTATAATACATTAGCAGTATTCACGGCTTCGCCCGCGTCCAAACTTCCGATCGCTAACAAAATTCACAGGATCACCCGCTGGGCTGAATCTGAAGATTACCTGAAAATTTCATAAAAATCGTTCCAGCTTTTTTAGAGTCCATAGGAAACATATATACACACATCGATTTTTATTTTATTTAAGCAACAATTTAAGTTTATTTATTGCTCGGAAAATGGAGCCTTTTATGAAAATTTAGTGACACACCGACTGCAGCACTACCTACCGGATGCATTTGTGAATTCAAAACTCGAACATACACAAAAAAAACATTAAAATCGTCCCTGCCGTTTAGGAAATGATCAGTGGCAAACCGACTGTAGCGCGACCTACAGGTTCAATTGTGTTTTCAAACCTTGCAAGGATCCACTCAAACATACACAAAAAATATCATTAAAATCGTCCCTGCCGCTTAGGAGATGATCAGTGGCACCCCGACTACAATGCCATCTACCGGGTCCAATTGTGTGTTCAAACTCTCCAGGAACCCATTGAAATATACACACAAAATTTCATCCAAATCGGTTCAGTCTTTTAGGAGGAGTAGGTTAACAAACGCACGTACAGAAGTATTATATATATTAAGATACTAGCAGAAGCCGCGGCATCGCTCGCGCTAAAACTACATAAAAATCTCTAAAAAGGTAGTTTCGTACAAACTTTCATCCCCTATTTTATCCCCTTATAAGATTAATTTCGAAAAATGCAAAACACATATTTAATTAATTTTATTGAATAGCATTAATACCAAGTTTCATTCTGAACATAAATATTTTTTTTTGATTGCATTATAACGTGTAATCCTGTGGGAATTAGATAATCTCCCGCGGTAAAAAGTAGCCTATGTCATTCTCCAGCCCTCCAACTATCCCCACACAAAAAATCACGCCAATCCATTACTCCGTTTCGACGTGAAAGAAGGACAAACGAACAAATGAACACACTTTCACGTTTATAATATTAAGTATGGATATAACCAACATACGCAGTGCCATAGAGAGAAGTTGTCTCTTTCTATCAAGTTCTCTAGAATTGCTTATCCACACGGCACACTTGCTTAATCACTTTGGCAGATTGTTTTCCCCTTTTTTGCATTGTCTGTTTCTTTTTTCTTGCAGTCACGGGTACCCATTAGGTTATAATTTTCGTACAATTTTCTTTTGTGGTCCTCATACTTATGCTATTTCAATAATTTTACTCCGCAACTTACGTTTCTCTTTGTCTTTTTTTATTACCTTGAAGTGCCTCAGTCATCTTTTAGTCCAGTTCTAAGCAGGAGTCTTTTCCATTCTCTGTTCCATTGATGCCATGGTTGACAATTATTTACGTGTTTTACGTGAATGATTGCCAACCATGACTAATTCAAAGGTAGTAATTATTTCTTAATAGTAGAGGAGCCCAGGAGGGGATTTTAGGATTTACTTAAGCACAGCAGATTAACATAAGAGGGGATACCTTGCACTCTGTTTAGTACCTCCACCATGTATAATTCCTCTGTATAAGGTCGCCCGTCTAGGCCAGCCGATAAAAATATATTTTATTTTTGACAAGTTAGAAATACTTAAGCGCGTCAGATAGTAAGGTGTGGTGGGCTAATTTCATGCTAAAAATTATTCAATTCAATAATGTGCCGATTTCTACAAGTCGCAGAAATAAAAATCGTCCATAAAGTTTATGCACACTTTTCAACATGTAATTAGGCAAGTAAGTAACAGAGTGCAAGCCTGCAAGGTACTCCCCTAATGTCAATCTGCCGCGCTTGAAATTCTAAAATCCCTTCTTGGGCTTCCATACTATAAGGATATTGTCCTTTTCAGTTAAATGTATAGATTTTCTCTTCATATTTTTGCTGGATCAGTATCTAAGTCTAAATCTTTCCGAGTCATACTTATATTTATACGATATTAATAATAATTCAGATAAGGTTATAATAGACCGGTAAATTTCACGGGCTCCTATTGCTTCAATATTTTTTTTGTAGTACTCGCTTTTCTCACTCTGTTACTGTAATAAATAAATCCAGAAATATAAGTAAATTCGGATCGTGATTGATTTCATAAATAATAAGTATTATTATTTTCATAAATCCATCCATGAGCGAACAATAGGTACTACTATAATTTGATTTTTTCTGCTATTTTTTTTAATTCGGCTGAACCCTTTTCCCCTTAATAACAATATTCTAACGAAGCGAGTATGTATTTAATAATAAATCATACAGTACTTTTAAACTCGAACTGTTGAAAATTATTTACATACTAGCGGTTCAGCCTCGCTTCGCTCAGGTTCGTCGCTAGGTACGTTTTTAATAGATATAAATAGTTATTATCCAGCGTTAGCCATACAATTTTTTTTTATAATATTGACATATATTGACAATAATATTTATACGATACTAACGTAACTCAATTGTTTTGCCTTCCCGGAACCTCTCCACTAACAGTTAAACTCTATGTTATGGTCTTAAAGTTCAAATTGACTTTTAAGTATTATTACGAATCTTTTGTATGGGAGTATAGAAAAGAATTGTTTTTAGGCTTTTTCAGGCAATTTTTAAAATTTTTTCTCCGTAAGAACCATCTTCGTACTTCAAGGAATATTCTATAAAAAGAATTAGCGAAATCGGTTCAACTGCTCTCGAGATTTGCGCTTACCAACACATTCAGCGATTCATTTTTATATTATAGATAATGTAAAAAAAAATTGTGCATATCTCCCACGGTCGGCCGTTTAGTCCTAGTGCATAGTTAAAAAGTTGTGGGTCATGCATCCTATTTGAATTAAAAGGACGGGCTTAAATAATTATAAATTTTTTATATCCCGAAACTTAAGTAACAGGTCTTGGTGTTGAAAAGTTAGGCTTCTCCCAGAATTCGCCGTATCATTGGTCCAGTATATATGATCTCGGTCGATACCGTCTTACGATATGGTCGTGTTAAATTGCCCACTGATCGAATTGTTAGAATAAATTAACAAAATGTTCATGTGTGTTTATACAGATAATTAATTATGCGACAAAGTACCCATAAACTAAAAGGAAAAGACGAATACTTAAATAGTGCTGCCTGCCGCCGGTCCACTAAACCACATATGATATTAATATATTAGATCTTTACCGCTGAAATTTCTGTTCGTGTTAATACAGAAAGTAAAAGTCATTTTATTATAAATATTCTTTATTTCTATCAATCAAAATATGCACCCATGCTTTCATTGCATCTCTGCCAGCGCAGTGGTAATTTTTCAATGCTCTTTTTGAAGAATCCAGATGTACGGGAGCCAACAAACTCTACAAATACATTTGTACTACCTCTCGGGTATGGGATTTATTTTCCCGCCAAGAAAAAGTGGAAACCCGTCGGCTCAAGGTCTGGTGAGTATGGTGGATGACGCAAAACTTCCAACCCTAGCTCTTGTATCTTAGAGACCGTTTGTTGAGCAGCGGGGATGAGCGATTAACCAAGGCTGGCCGGAGATTTGCGAGCTTCTCCATCATTGTGCCTATTTCCTTACAGTACTCATCCGCAGTAATGCTGGTGCTTATTGGTAAGAAGCTGTGATGAATTATACCGGCACTAGACCACCAAACAATGACAATGACCAGTTTTCGTTTGAGGCATTGCCTATGTGCTGAACCAGATTCTAACTATCATGATATCCGCTTACGATTATCAAAAAGAATCCATTTTTCATCGCAAGTAACAATGTAGTTCAAAATCCTTTCGTTTCTGTGTCTGTTAAGCAACGCAAGGCAAACGTCATCATATAATACTCTAAAATATAATAAAATACTATCATATAACTTTGCAAAGTGTGATTATGAATCTGTAAACTCAACTCTAGAATTAATGGATGAAATGATTAAAACATTTTATTCAACTCTAACGCCAATTATAAATAAGTTTAGTCCTCTTAGAAAACCAATGAATGAGAGCTTCCCTACTTGGTTTTCGATCACTTATTAAAGCTCTTAAAGAAAAAGCGAAGTATAAAAAATATAAAGTTTACGGAAATGGAATGGACAATTTAAGTTATGTAATCTTACAAGAACGATGTGATTTACTATTAAAAGAATGCTATTCTAATTTTATAAGTAACGCTTCCAACCAATTGCGACGGAATCCACAATATTTTCGGATTTTTTTTTAACCTACGTAAAAGTAATTGTGCTTCAATCCCTAAAGAAATGACGCTCTGTAACGAAAAAGCAATAGGAAGGCAAGAAATATGCAATCTTTTTTCCAAAAATTTCCAAAGTATATATACATAGTTTAAACCAAGCTGATTCTATGCCGATACAAACGTTTAATACTATATAACGTTATTATTTATCACTTGGCAAATTAGTTGTACATGAAAATGATGTTTTAAAACACCTCCAATCTATAAATATAAATAAATATCCTGGTCCTGATAGTTTATCTTCATCATTTCTAAAAAAATGTGCAAATAATTTAAATAAGGCATTACGTAAAATTTATAATAAGTCATTGGAAACTGGGATGTTACCTTCTGAATGGAAAAAGGCTTATCTGTCACCTATTCATAAGGGTGGAGATGTGAGTGATGTGAGTGCTTATCGTCCTATCTCGTTATTATCAAATTGTGGAAAAATATTGGAATCAGTAGTTAATAAACAAATAATGAATGATGTACGTCGGTACATAAATTGTAACTAACATGGCTTTTTACCCGGTAAGTCTACAGCGTCTAATTTAGTTTCTTATGTATCTGATATTGCAGAAGGTTTAGATAAAAAGAAAGAAGTCCATTCTATATATACTGATTTCAAAAAAGCATTTGATCTAGTGTATCATAAATTATCGTTAAAGAAAATTGAGAATATGGGTACCCACGGTAGTTTGTTAAGTTGGATTGAGTCTTACTTAAAGAACTGCTCACAGTAGTATATATTCGTGGTTTTAAATCAGAAGAGTGCGAAGTAAATTCTGGAGTTCCCCAAGGGTCACATCTTGGCCTATTGCTATTTTTAATATTTATTAATGATTTTTGCAATTATATTATGTTATGTTTATAGTATATATTTTATATTATGTTTATAGCGTTATGAATGATGAATCTGATAAGCAAATTTTTCAAACAGACGTAAACTTTATTGTAAATTGGTGTAATTTTAATCAAATATATCACAATTCTACGAAGTGTTTCTTTTTAAAATTTTCGCGAAAAATTAATTTTGAACTAGTTACATATCATATTAATAATTCACCTATCCAAGAAGTTAAAAGTATCCGAGACTAGGGTGTTATATTCGATAGTTTTCTTAGTTTCAGGCAACATTTAGATAACATAATAAAAAAGCTACACAGACAACAAATGTCATGAATTAAATTTTTATATACGAGTACAAAGACTAAGTCATTACAAAGTTATTTCTCTATCTACACGTAGGAAAATACTTGATATTTTTTTTGTACAAGCTAATTCATGGGTCTATTGACTCACCTGATCTCTTACAACGACTGAACTTATGTATACCACGTCCTAGTAGTCGTCTTCAAAATCGTAAGACGTTCTGTCTTCCCAACGCGAGAACTAATGTAATAAAGCCACTCGCCCTTATTCTGTATGTGTTCAGCATACGATACTATTCGTTTTAAATTAGATATTTTTAAAGATACCTCTATAGAATATTTACGTAAAAAATTAAAGCAAATTGTTTAGTTTAATAGCTGCTGTTAGTTATTCATATTTTTTTAAGTTTTTTAGTGATTGTTACCGTACTTCTTACCGTGTTCTTTGTTACCGTAGGTTAAATCTCGTTTTTTTATTATATTAAGTTTTGTTATTGTTGTTGCGTCTGTATCTAGAAAAATGCAATGTATGTGTATTAATTTTGCAAGCTATTTTTATTTTATATGTGTTTGATTGTCATTTGTTTTGTGGGCCAATAAACATAAATAAATAAATAACTCAACACGTTCGTCGCGCTGGAGATCGTTTAGTTATTTAAGTTTTTTTAACTCAGCCGTAGATAGAGTATCGTCAGCTTCCACTATCGCCTATAATTCGTCGTTGTTGATTTTAGTTTTCGGGCGACTACGGGGTTCGTTTTTAAATAAAAAATTTGCATGTCGGAAGCGTTCACACCAATAACGAGTCGTACGTTCTTTTGTAGTGTTCACTCCGTACACGTCATTAATGTTACGAGACGTTTGTGCGGCATTGCTACCGTGACGGAACTCGTATTTGTGTCCATATTGATGAAAAAGATACAAATAGAGTGAAAACAAAACACTAATCAATAAAGAAATGACTGAATTTGAAAATAGAACTCCATAGCTATTGTAAAACGGCAACTTCATAGGTAAAGACCCATTATTACAGCGTGAAACCTGTAAGGTCTTTGAAAAAATTGGGATATTTTTCGTCTTCTCTGGTAATAATGACTGTCCATAATTTACCTATTTGATAAACTTGGTTACCTTACATATTACTTGATTTAGAAAAATGTTAATTTTTTAAGTAGGTATATTATGGAAATAAATATCTCCGAAGATAGTGGTAATAAATTGCTTACTGATGGGAGAGGAGCCGTCGAAGCGTAAGCAAGACGAGGACGATAGAGTACCTAATTTAATTATACATACATATGTACTTGCCTTCTAAAATTATTGATGTAAAAAAATCATCATTTAGAAATGGTTAGGACTAGATTGTATTAACTTCCTCAAAAATGATATTTATAACTACAAATACACATGGTTTCATGAGTATTTTTAGAATTTTACAATTAATTAATTAATGTGTAGGTAGATAATAGTAAATTTCATTTATGTCCTAAACAATTAGATGTAAGCTTTATTATTATTTATTATAAATAAATCATTAGTTTACTTTATAAGAAAATTAAATAATTTTTTTTTTCATATACTGAACCATTTTCAATATCAGATCTTTTGTTGTTACATTACAGATGTATATCGACAGAGCGGCAATTTTTGTCGGATTTCGTAGCAGGAGCAGAGAGCACGGCAGGTGGGCGGCTAGCGCGCTGGCTGGCCCCTGGACCTCGTGTTGAGCCGTCAAGATGTGAACTCAAACCGCCCCTCATACCCGCACGTCCCGCTGCCAGACTAAGCTTACCTATTATCGTTAGAGATCAATATGGTGATATAGTCTGCTCACCAGCTATCAAAATTGAGGTAGAGTACATAGATAAAATAGTTAATAGTATATTGTATGTTAATATTGAGCAAATATTAGATTATATGGGAATTTTCCTAAAATTCTGTTTCAATTCACGGCGAATTTATATTTATCCATAAATTATTTTTGGATGTTAAATTATATCTCAATGATAATAGCTCATGCATAGAGTAGATTATAGAGCAAGCTCATAAGTAGGTACATATTTTGAGAGAAGCAAAATTAAAATACTTAATTTGAAGGAACACATAAAAACTTAAATATTCTCTTCTCCCTGGTACAACTAAATATAGGTATTCTCGCGATAATCTTCTTTACCGATTGGAAATGGTATTTACACATTTCTCGCAATTTCAAAGATCCAAAGTTCTAGGGTCCATTGCTTCTCTTTGTTTTCAAAACGAGCATGCATCCCTATCCTTTTCTCCCAATGAGCTATCGTTGCTTACGGAAATTGCTGTATGAAATCATAATTGTTTTAATATTATTCATATTAGTAGTACCTACCGTATTCAAACGATTATTATTATTATACCCATCTTTTTAAGGTTCTGTACCCAAAAGCTGCCAGCGGAACCCTTTTACTAAGCTTCCGCTGTCCCTCCATCCGCCCGTCCGTCTGTCAGAGGCCCGTACCGTAATAGGTAGAGAGTTGAAATTTCCACCGCTATAATAACAAATAATAAAAATAAATAAAACTTAATAAATTAAAATACAAGAAACATTTTTTTTAATGTTCGCAATCGATCATCGAAGTTAATATACCACATACATTTAGTAAAAGTCATATTAATAAAAAATACGTGTACGATGGTACGGAACCGTTCGTGTGCGAATTCGACTCGCAATTGACCAATTTTTATTTAGCAGATAAAGTTAAAATATTAAATTTACAATATAGGTGGTCGTGCAACGAATAGAAGATAGTATTCTACGCGCCGGCAACTCAATGGCGTCAGAACGTCGCGGTAGCTTATCAGACGTCCCGTACCAACCAACTGTACGAGATACCATGTGGTTTCACGCTATAACAATGATGAAGGTTACACTGCTTTTTGAATATTTTATCATATTAAATTTTATTACCTACTACTTCCACGAAATAGATAATTATGATAGAACTTGATGAGATGAAAAAACTCTATGAAAGCATCCTTTTAGATTTAATATGAGCATAACATTTGTTTAAATTACGCGTACTGTTTTCGTTCACAGCCGTATCAAAATTATTCATTTGAGGAATTACGATTTGCAAGTGGAGCGTGGGGTGGGGCTGGCGCTCTTCTAGAAGGCCTTGGGGGCGGCGGTCGCATACCTGCTGAGCGCATAATCGTTGATGCACAACGTGATGGATCCTATACGGCTATATGGGTGCCGAGAACACCTGGCACCTACGTATTCAGATGCACGTTGGATGATTATCCTACGGCACAGGTAAGTTGCTAAAGGAGTTGGGAAATCTACTTCTTTTAAAATTTAAACAGTCATTTTTACACTTTTTACTATATGCTTGTACATACTGAACCATCGTTTATGATCATGAAATATTAAGTTTGTATAATATGTTTTATATGTAGTTATTACATTAGTTTGTAAAGTGGGGCAGGCTCCTTTTGGATTTTTATCATTATATTTTAATAATTATTTTTTATAGCTTGTTTGTTAGTAAATCATATCTACCTCATCTGACTGAGTTAAGAGCTATACATAATATACGAATTGTTTGCAGGATTTGAAAATAGATGTAGCAGAGAGTGGGAGTGAGGAGCTGGCAGAAAGATGGTTGGGCTCTGTGGCTACCTATCGGCTGCGACGTTTCGCTGCAGAAGACAGTGCTGGTCTGCGCGTGCGCGCCAGTCCCAGCTTGCAGGCCGAGGAACTAGGACGTATCCCGCCTGGCGCTTATATAGCTGTTGTTGAAGAGGTATTTAATAATTGAAGAATTGTAATCTGACTACATAATGTTACAGATAGTACATATTATCTCTTTCTCTTCTAAATACTAAGGAAGTATAACGGGATGAAAAGTCACCTATTATTTACGGGTACTATAGCTATTAATATAATTTTGGGTTTGGTTTAGCTAATCCGAAATAAAGAAGTTTGAGATAATCTCCTGCAACTTACAATTTTATTATGGTGTAGATGTTTGCTTGCCCACAGCTGGCGAACAAGGACGGCACGTGGGTGCGACTAAGTCAGGAGTCAGCACAGACGTACGCGGAGAGCAGCGCTGGCGTGGCCTGGTGTCTGCAGTATCATGGACATCTAGATCGCAGCCTGCTGCTACCTGTCGATGACGAAGACTCGCAGGTATTATTATTTATGGTAAAATACTAAGATATACCATGTTTCATATGATTATTGATTGTTTTGGTTAGTTGTATAGTGAGTATTTTCAACCAGTCATCCTAAGTAATTTTTGGTCCTTTTTTTTTTTTTTTTAACGTTGGGAAATGCATTTACGCACGACGTGTGGGACTCACCGGCAAAGCCGGTACTACCCACTAAAACCCAACAAAACCTTCCCCCGTCTTAATGGGGCGTCGCAGGATCGCTTGCGCATTCAACTACGACGCCCCGACGGCAGGTCTGCCGAAGCAGACCACCACAACCATGGGGTTGCTCCACAGTCCACTCTGCTATCAGAGAAGTACCAGGAGCAACCCGCATGGTACACCGCCCCCCGAAGAGGGCCACCTCCCACCGCCCACCGAAGTGGGCCACCTCCCTGTGCGTTTCTTGGCTTCGCGCCCGGTTGGGTTGCCGGGCACTACTGAGCCCCCCCACCACGACAAGGTGAACGCACGTTGGGGGGGATTTTTTGGTCCCTAATATCCCATGAAAAATACTTGATATGGGAGTATGTTCATCTGTTTATCTGTCAAAAAATAACTTATGTATAAAATATCACGTCAATAATAAATGTTCGTTTAGGAGGAATATGCGGCTAACTGGAATGCGTTCAATGAAGCCCAAATGGAGTTGCCACAATGGCCAGAAGACGACGCTGACGCAGCCAGCAATGGTAAATATATTTAATACCTCTGTTAAACTCAAGTGCTGCTATCATTCATTTTTTTTGAGTAAAATAATTAAATAGGATTAATATATGTATAGTAATTACTAAATAATAATCCGGTCCAATTACTTTATTTCAGTAAAACTAATTTATTCTTACGTACATTTATGTATACAGACGTAAGTATGAATTAGTTACGAGTATGCTACTTACTATACGTTACTATTGCATTTAGACAACAAAAGTCGAAGTATTCGATATCGGAAGAATGGTTTTTTTTATAAATGTGTAAATTAAATAAGACACTGTACTTAACAATATAATTGCAGATTTGAGTTCAGAAGATCGACGCTTTCCGTTTTCGATACAATGTGATTTGGCAAGTGAGGTAAGAGTGAATAAACTACATTATTAGTGCGTATTTATTTTTGAAATTGATTTGTACATGATTTAGCATTATTATAATTTAGCCTTATGAATGTCCAGTATGTCACTTTTTTTTTGAAATTGAATCTTAACCCATGATGGATAAAGACCTTAGCGTATACATGTTTTAAATAATTGGTTTCAGAGTGATAGCAGTACAAGCCCGTACATGTTTGGAGAACCAAGCAAACGAGGGCGATTACAGAGAAATGAGTCAACCTCTATGCCTACTCCAAGGTAAAGTTAATAATAATATTGTAGTAATTATTAATAGCTATAAGTTAATGTAACTTAAACAATTTTAACGTCTGTTTTTTTTCAGGCGTATGCCGCGTCGTAACAATGGGAACAGCGAGGAATGGTGGTCGCCCGTCAAACACCGCTCCAGCGACAACTTGCGAGAAGTAGATTCTTTGCAAGAGGTATGCTCGGTTTTATTTATTCTTTCGCTTGATTCTTCATAAGTGTCGCTTTTGGCCGTTGATATCAATCCGTTGTAACCGTTTCATTTATACCTTCCTTTTATTTACAATTATTATAATGCTTGAAATAGAAGGGAATTTAAAAGAAAATATTTTGTGGTACGCAAAAACTTTGCCCTTTAGACGGAAATCTTGGGGACACAAGAAACATTGCCGACTCGTGTGGCGCAGACGGGGACACAAACCTCGCCAGAGAGCACCATCGATGATATCGCCAACGCTCAGTTCGAGGTCCCTAAGGTTGGTATTGGATGGAAATATATGTCAATGCTTTTTTTGTAGATATATATGTGTATTATATTGATGTCGTGAATAAATATCTAATATAAAGGTTGGTATGGCGTCGACTATTGACATTTTTTCAATATATTATTAATTTTAATGTTTGATTATGACTTGTTTTTTCTCAACCGCTTTTATTTTGTAGGGAGATAATCGCAGTCCAAAACGGTTGTCTCGGGAGCGGTTCATGCGGTCGTCGCGCGGTCGGCTGAGCGTGTCGCCGCCGCCGTTGCCCGCGCGCTCGTCCCTGCCGCGCAAGTACGCGCTCAGTCCGGCACAGGCGGAGTGCTTGCGGGCGGTGTTTGCAGCGTTGCTATGGCATGAAGGTGATTTTCCTTTGATATCTTCTTATAATGTTTTATATTACACATTTTATAAGGCGCTTAATTATAGTTTTCTTATATTAGATGTAATGCAAATTCAACTAACGGACTAAAGTAACTACTAACTAATAAGCGGACTACTATTATAAATTTAAAAGTTCGTATGTATAAGGATGTATATTTGTTACTTCTTTACATTGTAAGAGCAGAGCGGTTTTGGATGATTTTTTTTGTTTTTAATTTACTATGGTGACTAGGAGTAACATGTCGGTTAGGCACGTAAAGATGCAGGAATGAAAGCGAAGTTAAGAAGTCGTTAGTACCTTAATATTTTTATATTTCGCCTTGACAAACTAAATGGTTTAAACAGATTGAAATTATTGGAATACATCTATACTAATATTATAAAGAGGTAAAGTTGGTGAGTTTGTGACGTTGTAGGGGGTAATCTCTGGATCTACTGAACCGATTTAAATGAAATTTGGTAGGAAGATAGTTTTAGACCCTGGGTCGACATGTGGAGGATATATGATACTTTTTATCTCGGAAATTACCCCGTAAGGGGGTTTAAATTGGGATGAAAGTTTTACTGGGAAGCAAGACAGGGACGAAACCCGAGCGAAGCGAGGGTGAGTCGCTAGTTCACTATATAAATCTAAATTAGTAAAGCAAGAATTTTAAAATATAATGATTTAACTAGGCATTGTCCACGATGCCATCGCGTGCGCCGCGTTCCTCAAGTTCCACCCGCAACTGCCGAAGGCGGGCGCGCGCGTGGTGACGCGGCCGCCGCACGACGCGCCGCCGCCGCGGCCGCAGAGACACTCCGTGGAAGTGTCCAATGCGGGTACGGATTGTTGAGGATTGATTTTTCTTATTTATTGTTTCAGGTTACATTTCAGTTGTAATTACTATTTAAATATTTTTATTTCTTTTTTTAACGAAACGTATTGCGTTTTGGATATTTTAGCGGTTTCATTCTGAATTTACATGTGTTATTATCTTATTCTTTAATATTTTTTTTATGTTTATTGTTTTATGTTATATTTTAGTTTTAATTATTATTTAAATACTTTTTCTTTTTAATGAAAGTTTTTGTTATTCAGATTTTTGACGACTTTAATTTGTGTTTTATAAAACGATACGTCAGTAAATAAAAACCTAAACAAAACCGCGAGAAAATCAGATTCATAGAATAAAACTTCAAATATACGTGTAAATCTAAGTATGTATTTTTTTGAAGTGAAATTGCTTTCGAATCGTGATTTGAAACTAGATGAAACGGAAATGCGGCACGACAAAGAGACAAAGAGACATAAGTACCTATATAAGATTAAGCTGGCGAAAGAATGAGATAGAATACATTATACAGGAATGGAAATATAATAAAAATAATACTGAACAATATGTAATGTAATATATATGTTAAATAAAATGTAAAATTACTTGGTCTATGAAAAAATAAAATAAACAAACAACAACAACAATTGTCCTAATCCTGAGACTATTTCATCTCATTTTCTCGTAGGTTATTTTCTGAAGTTTCTACCGTGTGAATAATTGCACACTTTTTTATTTCTCATGTCACTATATCATGTACATGTACTAATAATATATCGGTATCTAGGACAATATTTGCACATCCACCAATCTACGCTGGAAACTTTGACGCGTTCCGGCACAGACGCGAGTACGAGCCGTGCGCATAAAACGGACATCGATATGCCAATTCGAGAAGAGGATGCTGGCACGTCTAGTGCTCCTGATGCTGGTACTATTTTATTTATTAATAATCTGTTACCTAATTGCAGATTTAGTTAGGTGATACTTTACAACGGAAATTTTCAATTTTTGATTGAGATGCAAGTACAGTTACAAACAATTATTGTACAAAAAGTACGGTTATGATGTTAACAAACGTTTGTTGCGGCGAAATCTTATTTTTCGACATCTCTTATGGTTGTTGTGAATACTAAAACATTAAAGTCATGATAATTCTTAACTAAACAGTAGTACGTTCAAGTGTTAAAGCTTTACTGTTTATACATACCGTATGTTATAAATGATTAAAAAGTTTATTAACGAAATGTATTTTCCAGGTCCATCATCATCAGTAGTAAATGTACTACCGCCAGCTTTGCGCGCGCTCGTCGCTTTGTGGGACGCTTTGAATGATGCTGACCAACTGAACTCCGCTACTGACAAGTATGATTGATGGTTTTTGTACGTAATTTGTCATATTTTTTGCATAAACGTGTTTAATAAAATATCAATTTATATTTGACAGGAATAGAAAAGAAATCGTCGAAAAGAATGAAAACGACGATTCAAAATTAAGTATTGTACGTAAGAAGAAGGAAAATAGAGCTCCTCTTGTAGGTAAGAGCAGTTGCGATTGTCAGCATGGTATTGAAAGTGCAACTAATAGTTGAACTATAATATGTATTAGCTTCTGAAGATAGAGAGATAGCGGGCTTTGCACTCACTTTCAGTTTCATTAATCACAGTTTCATATGGGAATGAGTAGAACGGGGAGCTCGAAATCTTTAAATCTAGTCAGTAACCCGATTGAAATGAAACCTAGTCGCACGTTTGTTACTTCACGTATAGTAACAGACACCTAGAATAAACGGGCAAAATTAGCGCATAATATTAACAATGAAGTTGTTAACTATGAACAGTTCGTTGCGAGTTGTGCGGCGGTCGCAACGTACCGCCGCCGCTGGCCGCGCACATGCGGAACATGCACCGCGGCTGCCAGGCGCTCACCAACCGCGGCTACGACCGCGCCGGCCAGTACAAGCAGGCTGACTCCTTGTCCACTGATAACCCCCTGTCTGAATGCGGACAGCTCGCTCAAGGTATGTGTTTTTACACTAGATTTTTTAATATTTAGTCTTGTCACGGACTAAAAATTCATTTTGCACAGATATAGCTTATAAGGATTTGAATTTTCTCCTATGGGAATTTGGTTATCACACTAATAGTTTTAATTGTATTTTGTACTTTTAGTAATTTCTGCGATTATTGAACAATGTGCACAAAGCTTTAAATTTATACGTTATTGTTACACTATTTATGACACTTCGTCATTAGGGGATTTTATGTTTATTATCTCACTTTATATCATTATCTAAAAGACTATTCTACTTTTCATTTAGGTATATAACAATAAATTGCTTTGCGTTGTATATTATTCCTTTGATATGATTTCCTTCTTACTTACCGTAGTTATTTTTGCTATTGATTGAATTGCGTATAATTTCATTCGATATTGATTTTATGTAAGTTTACTTAAGCATGCATTATTGTAATTATTGTTTTTTATTTTTCTTTATTTCTTTCCTTTACTTCGATCCTCGCAACCCGTACAGACCTTATCGGTGTGAAAATTCGAGCAACGTTGGTAGCGTACCAACTGTGGTACATATTCTGCGAGAAATGCCGCGAGCGCGCGTTGAAGGCGACGGCGGAGCAGCGCAAGGGCGAGGGCGAGAGCGAGTCGTCGTCCGACCGCGCCACACCCGACCTGGACCACCATGCCATGAGGGACAACGCAGTCTTCCTCCTGGATCTAGCACCGCTTATCAATTCTGGTAAGAACTTATTACTTAATACACCTTCGTCTTTCTTCTAAACCAACAACCACACTAGAGTGCGCTTCTTAAGCTCACTATTTACATGACATTAAAATGTATTGCATTTTATTCTTTCTTTTAAAATCGTTTTTCAAGGAAATTTTAAGAACGTGTCTGCTTATATAATGAAAATAAAAGAATTTACTATAAACAAATAAAATGATCCAAAAAGCACGGGAAAAAGGTTTGTGGTTTGTCATGCCGAAAAAAATATAGAATTACATCTACTATTCGTCGCTAAAAAAAAAGAAATACAGAGAAGAAAAATGTACTGGAATGTTATGTCTTTGCCTATTTATATAAAGGTTATAGTCGTTTATTCGTTTAAGTTGTAAGTGAGATTTTGTGAATTAAATGTGAACGTTTGCAAAGCCTCACGAATAATTAATTATGTTCCAATAAGCTTAATTCGTCTTCCGTTTGCTGACAAGATTTTGCATATTTGTTTGAGTTTTAATCATAATAATTATTTTACTAATTTTATTTTTTTTAATGCAAATAACATATTTATATTTATAAATTGTTATTACAACACTTTTGCACATGTGCGCGCTAACACAAGTGCACTCTCTATTCCTTTCACTCTCACATTCCGACACGTGGGCGGGATGATAACTCGACAAGACCTGTGTGAGATCATACGCCGGACTAACGCGACACGTGCTCTCTCAAGACACGGGGTTGAAACATTGCCAACTTCCCAACTCTGAGCTGTTAGTGAGAGAGAAGAACCAATGACTTAACTTTGTTAGATCCGGGACCCAAACCCAGGACCTTCGGATCTGTAGTCGTACATACGACCTACTAAACCAGCGAGGCTAGTTACTGTAATACTGATAGTTGTTATAAACCCAATAATCACATTATAATACTAATATAGTTTTTACTTTTAACATTTTGTTGTCAGAATCTTCAAGTTCATCTGGCTATCGAGATTTAGGTGGTCGAAGTCCCCCCACTCCCCCGGGCAGCGTGTGGCAGCCCGCCCCGCCTTTCCAATGCTTACCGGCTCTAGGGGCTGCGCCTAAGTCAACGGCGCCAATGTCAGATACAGCAAGATATCACTCTCTAGGCAGACCGTTGCCTGCTACAATTGTATGAAATTAAAAATATCTTTATATAATTAGTTTATTGTGTTTTATATAATATTTAAAAGTATTTTCAATTTTTAGTTTAAAAATAAATAGCAATAATGACACTCTAATAAGTGTCAAAATAACATATGTCATGAACTAGCGACTCACCCTCGATTCGCACTATATATTAACCCCCTAAAGGGATTATTTCTGGGATGGAAATATATCCTATGTCTTTTCCAGGGTCTCAAACTATCTTCTTACCAAATTTTATCTAAATCGGTTTAGTAGATCCAGAGATTACCCCCTACAACGTCACAAACTCACAAACTTTACCTCTTTATAGCATTAGTATAGATGTAACCGAAAATTGGGAGAGACATAGTTCCTATACAAATGTTGTAGCTAAATTATTAAAAATAAATAAAAAATAATAGTACATAATTTGTAAAGCGGTTAAATCGTTGTGTAGGAGGAAACACCGTCAACATCGGGCGCGGGCGGTGCGCAGTTGTCGCGAGTACCGCGCTCCGTGTCCATGGGCCAGGCGGGCGGCAGGGACCTGGCGCACGCCGCACGCCCGCCAATGATCAACATTGAAACCGATACACAGGACACCTTGTCTGGTAATATTTGGAATATATTTTAATATGTTATTTATTTTCTGTGTAAATAAAAAATAGAATCTGGAGCTACTACTTAAGAAGTAAACTTTAAAACTCAAAAACAGATCTGTAAAATACTAATATATTTTGATGATCGTAGGTGTAGGATCATCACTACTGGCTCAGCCTAGCGCGGCTCTGCAAAAATTAGTGGGTGGAGGTGAATGGGCTAGCGAAGGATGTGCTGTGTCTGCGTTTGAGCCGCCGCAAGTTGATCCAGAGGCATTAATGCGAAGCCCGGTGTTAGCATTTATACTTGCGAAACGAGAACTTCCCGCTTGCAGACAGAAGATGGATGCCGCTGTTCGGATTAATACTATCAGACAGTATGCTTTCGAGGTCAGCAGAATGATAATAAACCACTTGAAAATATCAATTGTTCTGATATTTGCAAAGTTCTAGATATGTTATCTTGTTGTGTAAAGTGTAAATCGTTGTTATATACTAAAAATTGATAAAAAGTAATCTTGCAAACTAGGTCGCTTAAAACATGATACTTTAAACTACGTAAAATAATAAAAATAGTTCTACCTACAAATCATTTTATATTGGAAGAAGTTGATGATGAAAATATAACATTATTATTTTTTTACATATTGTACAATTTATTTTAACAGGCATTAAACTGGCTGCTCCGCTCTACGACGCAGCCAACGAGCGTGCACGATGTGATGTGGTGGTTCTGTAACGCGATCGATAAATTTGCACGTATTGTTCCTCCTCCACTATCGTTTGAAGATAATAAAGAGGTTCTTACGAAGTTTTTCACTTTATTTTATTTAGTACTGGTTGACTTGAAAATCACGACCGAGCTCATAGACTCGAGAATTTTAAAATGACATCAACGTGGGTAGTTCGCCGTATATAAACCAATAATTCCAAGGCTAAAATCAAATCTTCTCTAAACACTATATTAGCACTGAAATCCCTATCAATTATCAAATAACTGTAAAATTGGATTTCTTATTGCTTTTAACTCAATAACTAATTTGTCTAATTTGACTAAAGTTGAAAAAGTGATATCACAGGTTGCTTATTGACATACAAAATGTATGAAGGAATCACGTTTTGACATATCATAAAAATTATGTCAATTAACTGGCTGTATCAGTTACCCAATTAGTAAATATGTAAGTAATTTAGTATAATAATCTCATTTTACCGGCCAATCTCCTTCGTGTCTTTACCATTGTATATCGGTTAGGCTCCCCGCAACAATATATAGGTATATTGTACGACTTGCTATAATTAAAGTAGTAATAAACGGACCTTGGAGCCAAATAGTGGTCTCATTTTATCACCACACTGGCTACCCTGCCAGGATTACCTGACATTGACGAAGTAATCTGTGCTCAATTATTGAACAATAAACAGAACGTGGGCAGCGATTGGAGTCGTTACGCGGTACCGACTGCGTCAGCGGCTGCGATATGTCCCGGAGGACGTGCGGCGAGAGGCTCCCGGGCGGCATTCCACGCGTTCCTGGGCTCCGTGAGTGCGCTCGCGCCCTCGCTGCCGCCCGCCAGCGCTGCGGCCTTGCAGGCGGTGCGCTGCTGGGCGCTGCACTACTCGCAGCACGATAGGGCCTTCTTACACCGGTTAGTTAGCGATTCAAATGTTAAGTTCCCATAGTATGTGTTCGGCTTTCAAATACACAGATATGCATATATATGTATACTAGCAAATATGTATAATGTATATATTATGTACTTGCGAATTGCGCATTTTGTATTCTAAATTATTTTTAACTCGTGTAACACCCATCGTAAACAATAACTTGGCGAAGTTTCGTCGCAATCGAATCAATGATATAAGATTTAAAATCTAACAATTCAAAATGTCATGCTAGAATTGGTTTGAGTGCATATTGATGGGTAAATGGTATTATATGTATAAACATACATAAATACGGTTGCTATTTATCGTTATCATTTTCGATCTTTGTACTGTTAACGCTGCCTGGAATAGATCACAAGTATTTAGCGTAATTAGCAAGATATTATCACACGCCGAAGATGGCGCTTACGAGGAGGGAATGGTTGGAGCTCTGCATGAGAGCTATCAGAGCTATATATCCAAGGTACATCATATGATTCTTTCTATACTATTTTTAAGACTTGATTGTGTTATATAGTGAACGTTTTTGTGACGTTGTGTATAAATATTAAAATCTTTTTTAATTGCCTTTTACGTGTATAACATATTTTATACATATGGCAAATTTTTGCGTGTATGTTAAGTTCGTGTGAATATGAAACCAATAGGAAGAATAAGAGTTTTTATTTTGTTTTAGCAGCCTAACTTTATATACACATGCCCCGACGTGACGGGTTGGTGTGAAGTCACTGTTTCTTCTCGCACGGGAATGGCCGGAGCTTTGACAGACGGAAGTACTGAGACCTTTTGGGAGTCAGGAGATGAAGACCGTAATCGTGCTAAATGGATACAATTATCCTACGCGCGCCCTTCGCATCAAGACAAACCACATATAATATGCGTACATGTTGACAACACGAGGGACACTATGGTAATATTATTTTTATTTTAAATTACATTATATGAAAATGTAAGAAATTCATACATATGCTTCTTTCAGAATAAGACTCTGCTGATGTCGTTCCTGTATAGCGGCGGAACTAGTGAGATGTCTCATATGCAAGATATTGAAGTGGACCCCAAAGCTGCCACTTGGGTTTGCTACACGTTGCCAAGTAAGTTTTGATTTCTCTGGTAAAAGAGTAATTGCTTACATAAAGAAAGTTTACATATTTAACGATTATATTGCACTTTTCATACTCTATATGTATTTAGGTATCATAATATATTCTATGGTAAACACTTTGCCAAATAAAATTGTAGGATTAAAATATTTTAATATTTACATATTGTAATATAAAGAACCAGATTTTGCATAGAGATTATTGGTTATTTAATATTATTATATTCTGTTACAAATAATAGTGCTTTATGTAAATTGGCAATTATAAGTGAAATTTTTTTTATAAAAGCAAGTAGTAGCCCAGTGTTAACGCGCTCGCTTTGGAAACCGAGTGAAGCGGGTTCAAATCCCGGGTCTCGCACCTCTGATATTTTCATGCGCGAATCATTTCCAACATGATTGTCTTAACGGCGAAGGAAAACATCGTGAGGAAAACTGCATGTCTGAGAGAACCTAGCAAGTTTTAAAAAGACCTGTGAAGTCCGCCAACCCGCACTTGGTCAGCGTGGTGGACTATAGCCTGATTCCCCTCGTACTGAAAGGAGGCCCGTGCCCAGGAGAACGACTTTAAAAAGGGCTGAATACATTTTTTTTATGTTTTTGTAGGGTCGTCCAGTTCATCAGTGCGTGTACGCTGTGAGCTTCGAGGTCCGGAACCGGCAGTACGCGTCCGACAGATACGAGTCCTCGGTGCCCCTACAAGGACTCCCAATCCGCACCCACACCACCCCCTACACTCGCTTGCTGAGAGAGACACTTTGCGTGTCTTCAGACTGTTGACGCAACAGGTATCGTTTAGTATATTGTTTAGTAATGTTTACACTAGCGACTCCCCCTCGCTTCACTTCGGGTTCGCCCCTAGACAAAAATAATAAATAAATATGTTGGGACATTAACACACAATACCATCTAGTACCACGGTAAGCTACGAGGCTTGTGTTATGGATACCTGATAGTTGATACACTACATATATATAACTTTAAATACATACATATTATAAATATAATATGATTTTTCTTATTAACTTTTATACGTCGATATTGATCAATAAAACTTCAATGTGTTGCTGAAATTTTAAAGTTTTAATCAAATAACAAATTAATAATACAATAAAAACCTATAATTACATTATATAAAATAAAATATTACCTGAAATTTTAAAGAAACGACATTTAAAAGTTTATTGATCCAAATGTTTTTACTTTTAAAATAAACATGACATACAACTAAATTATATAGAATTCTAAATAAATGCAACCTACTTGGAAGATAAAATAAAATATAAAATTAAAGGAGTATACTATCTTTACATAAATATAAACACTCATTACTGGAGTACAAACATTCGTGCTCAGCACACAAATGAATGCCCCCAGCGGTATTCGAACCCGCAACCGCTGGCATAGCAAGTAGGGGTACTACACACTGAGCCAAACGTGTCGTCAAATCAAACCAAAAACACAAAACCAAACCTATTCCACGGAAACCGTACATTTTTCCGGGATAAAATATTTTTATTTTTAGCCTTTTGTAGGCTGCTCCCTACGTGCTATTCTAGACAATAATCTATCACCGTGCCAAATTTCATCATAATCACAGTGCCAAATTTCATCCAGATCCAATCAGCCGTTCTGGCTTGATTGAGTAACAAACATCCATCCATCCAAACTTTCGCATTTAAATATGTATTAGTAAGATTTATGTCTAATATTATACTTATGACATTATTGTAACACTGCTTCACATAAAACTTAAGTTAAAACGTTATTGTGTTCGAACATAGGGAATATCCGAGAGCAAAGCAATGAATAAGTGTACAGTGAGAGCTTTGTGTTGTAAAATGATGTCATGCGAGCATAGCGCTCTCGCGCGTTGTATTTGATTAAGACGAAAATTCAAACTGTCTTAATTTCAACACTAAACACTCGTTTGATTTAAATGAATCCAAAACAGGTGTATTTCTAAACATTTAGGCTATACGTTCATAAACGGTTTGAAGTCTGATTTAACAGACCAAGTGATATTATTCTTTGTAGCATAAAATTATCGATTAACCCGCGAATGACCTGACCTAAATATGTACGACTTTCCAGGCACCGGTTTGGTTAAACTAGTTTACAGATAGACCTAATTCCCGGTGCTACTGTGAGCTCACCGGACATTTATCGATCAGTTTTCACGTAGCTTCGCTGAAATCAGGATGCTGGGAAGATTCAGTTGTACAATAATAAACGGTTTTTAAATGTCCAAGTTTATTTTCTATAAACCATAACGTTGCATACCTACTTTATATTTATTTTATAATATAACATGAACATCTTCGAATATTAGGGCTTTCATGTGGGGCATAAATGATGGAATATGCAAATAAAATTGTATTATTTAGTTTTAGTAGAATTAATTTTCTTATTCGAAAATGGATTAGGTTGTTTTGGAAAAAAATATATAGATACGGATTAAATCATTATTGTATAAGTGTCATTATACTTGAAGATAATTTATTATTAACTATAACTTGGCAAATAGTGAACAATTAAAGCCTTGTAATGAAATATCGACTAACATCAGCAATTTATAATAACTTTGAAAATTAACATTCATAAATAGATGCCAATGATTATTAATCGTGACTACTTCATTACACTGTCTATCATGACTAGATATGTTGTTGCTATATCACTTGCACTTATCAAGTGCCAATAAGCTTGCCTCGTCCAGTGAATTTCACCTTATTAACGAATTATCTGTTACAAAATTATGAAACGGGATTTTTCCATTATGATTTTTTAAAGTTTTTTGTAAATGATAATTTTTTTCGATTAACAACATTTTATATTATTCATTGTTATTTATTATTATGTGAACGTGTTTTTTGTTATCATAAATCATTGTTAGTTTACTGTATCTAATAATAATTGGTCCAAAATTATTCCGACGATTGTTAAAAGAGAATTGTTAATGTCCCAACATATATATATACATATATACATATATATATATATATATATATATATATATATCCTCGCTGCTCTCGGGTACCAATACCAGTACAGTGCCAATATTAGCGTATGTGTCTACTACCAGGTCATAGTCGTTTCAGGGTGAAGGAGTAACAAACATACATACATACACACAAATTTTTACTATTCTAATTAATATTCCGATGTAATTATTTCCAGGTTTTTGGCAAGTTACTGGAATGGGAGCATAGTAGTAGTGAATCGGGTGAAGGCGCCGCGGCCGAAGAGGCGGCTGGCGATGACAGCGACCTGAGGGAACACGTCGTTGGTATCTTGTTTGCGGGGCACAAACTTACATCATTGCAGCGTCAGGTATTTATATTAACAAATATAAAATATTTCTTTGGAAAAATATTAATAATACTTATATTGAAAAATAACATAATATATAATTTGACGATGTAATCCTGCTTGATACATATTGTGCCAAATGTTAAAAATTATATTATTTATGACGTTCTTTAGACCTTATTAGACATTTTTTTCTCGTGTTATAGCTTTCATAATTTAAATAACAGGTAGTCAGTAAAGTTATTGCATAAAATATTAGGTTAGTATTGGTAAAAGAAATAGAACGTTTGCAAACGATGTTTACTAGTGCTTAAACTATCTTCCGTTTTTATCGTAATCAAGTTTTCAACGGCCTCCGGACCTAGAGCCTTACTGCTAGCTAGTACACTAGTCTATTTTTATTACAGTACAGTATTTCTTTTATTTAAAATATTTGTTTTATTTGTAACATCATGATTAAAAGTTAAATGTTTTCTAATTGATTTTATATATTTTTTGTTTTAGGTGATGTCACATATAGTGTGCGCAATTGGGTGTGAGGCGGCCCGCGTGCGCGACGACTGGGAGACGGCGTTGCTCTGCGCTGAGACTCTTGAACGGGATGAAGATGAGTTGCCTCGCGTGCTCACCCATCATCAGCAAGATAACTATTGCTTTGAAATGCTATCGCTGGTAAAATATACATTTATATATTTATACACGTCTCCAAAAATATATCAAAAATATTTTTGATTTAAAATATTACTTTAAGTTGATAATTATATTTATTTCATTTATTCTTAAAGTATATAACTGATATAGGTTAGGTATAAAATAGTATACGGAATAAATGGTCCCCGCAGCTTAAACATAAGCATTTTTTCGTAAAAATTTTCTCTGACCGTTTTGCATAATTATGACCTGAATTTTGCCCACGCTCCTTTGAGGCATGGGTGTCCATGCCTATTGCATAAACCGTCGATTGACTTATAAATAGAATCGTAGAATCAGTTAGTGATTTCAAAATAGTCAGCCAATATTGAGGTTACACAGTTTATTGCAATTTGCACGATACCAAAGCTAAAACAGCTATTAAAATAGTTTGTCTTGTCTGTTTCTTCTCCGTTAATTTATATTTGGCTGAATTAATTATAATGGGACTATCACTTTGGTAAATTTATTTTTAAATAATACGTTGCTGGAAGCGGGCACTGACATAGGACATAATAATAAATATTAAAAATCATTTTTGCCTAATTTTGCAGTTTATTCATAATTATTCTTTTTATATAAATATGTATTAAGATTGCGATGTTAGATGATAAAAATATTATATATTATTTAAAAGTAAACATATTTTATCCAGTTGCTAGCGTTAAGTGGGAGCGCAGTGGGGCGCGCTCACCTCGCCCAACGCACCGAGCTACTTGCCGACCTGCTGGCTCTGTTACACACTGGCAGCGAACGCGTGCAAAGACAAGTAACTTAAAATATAATATATTATTATTAAGAACCCAAATCTTATTATTACATTATTGTTCCAACTTATCCTATTAAAATTGATCTGTAGTTATAATATATTTTGTTAAATACAAATAACAGTATAATCAATTAACAAGTAAAATATAATCAATGATATACTATACATTTAGTATCTCTATAATATATATCTATTTATTTATCTCAGGATAACGTCTTGGTTTTCGATATAGGTCATATCTCTTGTACGACGAGTGATCGCTGAAGTACCGCCTCAGAAAATCCTAGCGGCCCTCAATTACGCTGGTGACGTTACGACTAGGTATGTTTGAATGATAATAATTTTTCATATGAGAACGGGAAACGCGAGGATAGAAAGTATGACTTTCTATCCTCGCGTTACTTGGACAGTGAGCAAATAATTTGTAAAAAGGTGGTATACCATTCTCTATATAAATATTATTATAAACATAAAAAGTTTATTAAGTAGTTGTTCCTATGTTAGTGTCTCAATGACAGCTATCGTTTCTGGTGGCACCAGTTGGCGCCACTGGCGAGTGAGGTCCTGTCGTTGAAAAATATTTTTTAGTGTGACAGGCCAATCAATTTAGTATAATAATTGTTAGTGCGAGAGCATTTCTATCTGGATTTTAAATAATTAATCGTAACCAAATAAATAAAATATGTATGGACTTTTTATTAAGTCTTATTTTAAATCAATAAGATTTATTATGTCGTACCGTGTCTATCATAATTAATCAGGAATGGCACAATATTTATAATAATCATGTATAAATAATCCTGCATATATATTAGTGAAAATCCACTATAAAAAGCTCGCAAACAGTAAACTTTCAGTACCATTTGACATTTCTAGAGATCTCACTCTACACTAGCGCTCTCGCGGCGAATTCAAACGCGGTAGCCCCCATCACGTAAAACCTTTGAAATAATTTAAATGAAATTTGGAACCTAAATTGTGCCCCGGACTAATATGTTATTTTTTATCTTGGCACGACCTTTCATTAGAACAATAGTACGACATTAGTATTATATTAGTTCTAAAATTATTAATAGATGGAGCTAAGTAAGAATATAAATATTTCGCTTGTGTGAACTAGAGGGTAACGACTAATTGTAATCAATTACAAACTTTCTTTCTTTCCTCTTTTCCAGTGTCACATTATTAGACCATCTGGTATGCTACGTAGGTAAAGCATTAACTGTCCAAGTTAAGGTGAAAGGCGGCGGCGCTGCCAGCCCCGGGACTGTCACGCTGGGCTCCAGTGTAACACCGGCCCCCCCAGCGGCCTGGTTCATGCGTGGAGATACGACGAAGAAACATGCCCATCTCGTCGCTAAACTACTCACTGATATGGCTGAGGTTAATATAGGCTATATTGGGGGTTTTAATAATGTCAACGTCTTATTTTTATAGATGATATTTACGTAAAATAGGATACAATTCAGACTCGAACTCTTCGATTATGCCCAATACCGATACTCTCTCGGAGTTGAAATCTCAATAAATGTCAACGTCTATTTTGCGAAAGAGTCATTGACCTCGTATAGAACAATGATATAACAACCGTACTAAAACTTTGCTTTCAGCAATACTATATTGTGAAGTATATTAATATATAAAGACAAATTGTAGCAGTCGATTCTTCGCATTTACTAACGTCGACATTTTAAATAATATTAGAAAAAAACCGGCAGGATAAAGTATCTGAGGCATGGGGCATGGAGACGCGTACTGCGCTGGTTCAGTACGTGCGGGCGGTGGCGCAGGTGGAGGAGTCGGAGCGACGGCCGCCGCGCTGCATCTCATCGCCGATAGTGTGGCTCGCCCTAGCCGCACTGTGTGTGTGCGACCACCATCATATGGACTTGTATGTTTTTGTGCTTATATTGTTTTACTAGCGACTTATCCACAGTTCCCTCGGGTGCGTCCATGCGTATGTTTTAATTTTTTTCAGCAGAACCCTAATTCTTTTTATGTAATAAAAGTAGCCTTAGTTATCCTTATAAAATCAGCTATCTGCCAGTGAGAGTTCGGTCAAAATCAGCCCAGCCGTTTCGGAAATTAGACGGAGCAAACAGACAGACCGACAAAAATTTTAAAAATTGTGTCTTATAAGTACCGTATTAAATTTCATATGCATTTAGTAAAAATCTATTATTTTGACATTACAAACAGACACTTTAATTTATTTATCTGTATAGATAAAGCACTAGTATTTGCTCTAAGTCATAGTCTATCTGTGTACTAAATTTCATTCAAATCCATCCAGCAGTTTCAGCACTAAGAAATAACAGACATACAGACACATATATAAACATACAAACTTTCGTATTTATAAAATAGAAGTCGGATTTGTAGAATTTGTAGGTTGAAAGTCATAAACTTTACGTTAATATGATTTAATTTGATGCACAATAAATAGATATACGAGCACTTTAAACAAAGTGTGGACTATTAAGTTCTTTATTATGCAAAGTGATTGTTTTATCACGTCATTATTAACAAAAATAGAAGTAACTTAGCTAAAACCTTCATAATATTTCTAGAATGAACGGATCAAACGAAGGTCGTGAGTCTCGCGCTCGCGATTCAGTGGCGGAGGCTCGCCCGCACTGCACCAATCACGACGACGGCTCCACTGTGGCAGTCATAGAGTGTCGCTCCTGCGGTCCCCTCTGCGCCGAATGCGACCGCTTCCTGCATCTCAATAGAGCTGCCAGGAACCATCAGCGGCAGGTGATGATTAATTATGGCTTAATTTAATCTATACTAACATTATAAAAAGGTAAAGCTTGTGAGTTTGTAATTTTGTGAGATTGTGAGTTTGTGACTTTGTACGAGGTAATCTCTGAATCTACTGAACCGATTTAGATGAAATTTGACAAGAACTTAGTTTGCGACCCTGGGAAGGACATAGGATATTTTTTATCCCAGAAATTATTCCTTAAGTGGGTGAAAATGGGGATGAAAGTTTGTATGGGCAATCAAGCTAAGGACGTACACGAACGAAGCGAGGGTGAGTCGCTAGTGTTGTGTAGGTACTAGTAATATTTTATGTTCTATAAATACACGAATAACCGCTAAGAAGGAATTTATATAAACAATTTTTTTTGTGACTTATTTGACTTTCGCCGCTAATAAAAACAGTATTGTACCAGGTATGTTTCCTATAGACCGAGGAAGCTAATATACTTATAAATTTACTATGTAGAATGAAAATAAAAAAGATGGCGCAGGTGATTTTATAATCGTTTTGTCCTCATCGCAAAGTAAAGGTCCATGGATATTAAAAAAAAAGAAATAAAAAAATATGATTGTCACTGTAATATAAAAGTCATCAATACCTTTAATAAAATATTTTATAGTTTAAAATATTTCTTATTACGTTAGTACATTATAATTACTAAATATAAAACAAATATATTGTGATAGATATGTAAAGAAGAGGAGAGCGCAATCCGCATAGACATTCACGAAGGGTGCGGTCGCGCTAAACTACATTGGCTTCTATTGCTCGTGGATCGTCGCACTTTGAAGGCGTTGATGGAATTCCGTGGGCTAGAGGGCGCAGGGAACATGCCGTCTGAGACCGACGGCGCAGTAGGGCTGGCCGGGACCTGTCGCTTCTGCGGGGCCAGGGGTAACTCTGGACTACTCGCCATTGGTAATGTCTGCGCTGATCAACAGTGTCAGGTAATCATCAATGTGCATTTGAATCATGTTGTAGTTTATTTCAAACATATAAGTAATGTTCTGTTTAACGTGATTAACTTTAACCAGTGTTTAAAAAAATATGACAACAGATCATGTATTGTGCCCCGTTTTAATGTTTATTTTGTTTCCTTATAAGTCGGGCAAATATGTATATCATATTATAATACCTTTTGTTATCTAATAACGGTCATTTGTTTTTGTTCCGATTCCATAATAAGAGAGTTATATTTACAATAATAATAAAATATTATTGTTTTTTTTTTGTTACCTGTTAAGGTGTCTGCCCACTACAACGTCTCATACCATGACCGTGCTAGTACCGTGTCAGACAAAACAAATATTCTTTGTATTGAAAAGTATGAAACTCTGCCCATTAGACCGTTCCGTCACTAACCGGCACCGTCGCGTGCCGTGCACGGAGCGTTAACAATTATCGGCGAGAATATTTGTTATATTTTATTTTATTAGAATATTTGTACCGGTGCCGGTACGCTCCGTGCCTGGCACACGACGTCGCAGGACCGGTGCGCGTAGGCAGCACAATGGTGAGCATACGCAGCACTAAAACCGTTATGTACGTGTATGATACGCTGTTGGTATGGTCTAGTGGGCATAGTAGTCCGTGCCATGCTCGTTTCCGTGCCTAATACGTTCATAGCACAGTCATGGTATGAGACTGTGTAGTGGGCAGACACCTTTAACATAATAATATTCTAGGAGCACGGACGGGAGGCGTGCAACCGCGTGCTGGGCTGCGGTCACTCGTGCGGCGGCGTCCGCGGCGAGCGGACGTGTCTGCCGTGCCTGTTCGGCTGTGCGGGTGGGGAGTCACTGCGACAGGACGCTGATGATATGTGCATGATATGCTTTACTGACCCGTTACAAGCTGCTCCCGCTATACAGGTATACTTAGAATATATCAAAAAGTTTTGTGTAGGATTTTTTTATCGTTTAAAGTCGATGAAGGACATTGAATTAAAATATGCCTTAGATCAATATGCTGCCATCACCGATGGTAACAATTCTCAAATTCTGTTTCATTATAGTCCGACATTAACAACATCAGTAACATCTTTAGTAGTATAGTAACTTACAACCTTTTTACAAATTATATCCAAGTTGATTTATGAGAGAAAATCTTGGGTCATGTAGTTTAATGTAATAGCTCGTGTAATAGCGTTGTGCATAATACAATTTTTTAGAAAATGTTGTATACGAAAATAGCGAATAATATGGTGTAGTTGAGGGTTTTATTAAAAATGGAGATATAGAGATGAAATAAAAAGTCTACAGCACAAATTCAACTTTCATAGAAATGCATATTTTAAGTACCATTTTCCTCGCTGCCTGTTGATTTATTTTAATGATATGATTAAATATTGTATGTAATTCCATTCTAGCTGAGTTGTGGACACGTTTTCCATTTACATTGTTGTAAGAAGGTATTAGCCAATAAGTGGGTGGGGCCACGCATTACCTTTTCGTTCTCCCAGTGCCCAATTTGTAAGGTTAGTAAAATAATAAATTGAATATGAAGTAAAATAAATTGATATTAAAATATTGGAAGTCTATTATTGTTTAAACAAATAAGCTATTAATTAAAGATAATTAATTGTATCTATATGAAAATACCTTAAGAACTGCAAGTTATTTTTAACAAAAACATAATATTTTTTTTGATGACACGTTGGCCCAGGTTGTTGTGAGCCTAACAGCTGTACCAGCAGTCGCGGGTTCGAGTCCCGACAGGGGGCATTCATTTGTGATGAGCAGGAATGTTTGTACTCCAGTCATGAATATTTATAATATATATGTATTTAAAGTTATATATGTGTAGTGTATCAACTATCTGGTATCCATAACACAAGCCTTGTAGCTTACCATGGAACTAGATGGTGCTGTGTGTTAATGTCTCAACATATTTATTAAAAAAAAATATTTTTAACATAAACAGGAGGACATGTCACACTGGACCCTAGAGGAGCTCCTAACGCCGATCCGTCGCCTCCGAGAGGAAGTGTCGCGCAAGGCGCTGATGCGGCTCGAGTACGAGGGCGTGGCGGCGGGCGGGTCGCAGGGCCGCGCGCAGGAAGACCCCGCCGCGTACGCAATGGAACGCTACGCCTACTACGTTTGCCACAAGTGCGGCAAGGTTATCATATTTGCTGTCATTTTTTTTCTATTTCGATCATGTTTTCAGTTTGATCAGTCTTTTCTTCTGTATATATTTATTTGTATAGGTTCTGTTCTCTCGCATGATTAATAATAAACACTTGAAGCAAGTGTTAAAAGATTTGTTTATTTTTATATTTATTTTTCTTAAAGATCTAAAATCTGGTTAGTTAGTATTTATTGATGTGGATGTCGTGCCAATGTTGTGAATACTCATATCATCCGTTGCATAAAATTGTTCTAAGTTTGCGCATGTATTAGACATCATCCTTTCATCGTCATTCATTGATTACAATATAATTATGAAAAGATATAAACTAACAATAAGAATTGTCAAATTATGTCCATTTACTTTATGAACAAAGTTTTTATGTAAGGAATCTATATAAAATTATCATAATGTTATAGTCTTGCACAGGTTTCTGTAATTTAAATAAATATATAATTTATGAAATAAATCTTAATTAAAAGCTTAATTTTCGCAACCTTATTTAGAAGAGTCAATATTATTACAAGTATAATACTTTGTTATTAATTAATACACGAATAATATCACTCGATTGGCAGATGTATGACGTTAAATTCCAGAGCGGTATAGTTAAAATACGTGTAGTATATTACGCTTACGTAAGTGGCATAGATAACGTATATAAGTATATAATACGTGTAGTATATTAAATATTAATTATATACCTACTCGTTAGTAATATAGGAGAGTCACGTACACAGGCGTACTTCGGTGGGCTGGCGCGCTGCGAGGCGGAAAGCAGCGGCTGGTGGGAGCCGACGGAGCTGGTCTGCGGCGCTTGCAGCGACGTGGCGGGCGCGCGCACGTGCCCAAAGCACGGGGCAGACTTCCTAGAGTACAAGTGCCGCTACTGCTGCTCCGTTAGTGTCCTAACATTCATTTGTACCACAATACAAACAAAATACACACATATATAAGAGTACAGTAGACAATACTTATATATTGTGCAAAAATACATACAGGCCATTGCATATTGATTTTGATATTAATGGAGTTGAACGTAGGGCTGTCGATTTTTTTATGGCGAACGGTCTTGGATTTTCTCATTTTAAAGCACATAATAAAAAACTACTACTACTTTTTATGGAGGACTAAAAGTACCATCAAAATCGTTTATACATTATATAAAAGAATTAGAAACATTATTATTAAATAATTTTGAAAAAACAACGGATAGATTTAATAATCGAAATTTACGGGAGGGTAAAAAGTTTATTGACTATTACATTAATGTGAACCATTTGTGATTTTCAAAATATTATTTTCAATGTAAAGAAACTGGTTTTAGTCACCCATTCTTTTGTCTAATAATTTCTTAGCATAGACAGCCTTAGCGTTGCGCTCAATGACACATGTGATCGCCCGACACCACGGCAGACGACGTAGTAGATACTCTCAGCCTCGGGCGTCCACTTATGATATATTTTAGCGCGCACGAACGCCTGCAATATTTTTGTAGGTAATTATAGCGTTAGATATCTATCTTTTCCTATGGAGTAAATTATCTGTTCCGTAAGAAACTATTAGTTAATCTGTGTCTGTATTGTCATGTGGCAAGTTATAGTTACACCCACCAACCCTAAAGCCGTTTCCCTATTTTCATATAAAAGTAAGTATGACAGTCAGTATCATGTCTTCTCCTGCGCGATTGTCTTATCTGGAGAGACGGAATTGGCGTGAATAAAAAATAATTGATATGAACCTAAAGATATTTTGTTTATTTACTAAAGTTATCAAAATTACTTTTACAGGTAGCGGTATTTTTCTGTTTCGGCACTTCCCACTTCTGCAATGCATGCCATGACGATTTTCAACGAGTTACTAATATACCTAGACATCTATTACCGCAGTGTCCTGCTGGTAAGTAGAGTTTTGATCGACTTCATAAAAACATATGGAACTGTATTTACAAATGCATGATTTTTATTGATTTTCTAAATTACTTTTTCTAATTCATTTTTCTTTTCAAATTGTGACTCGATTTTTAACCGTTATATATATCGTTTATTATTGCAGGACCTAAAGGCGAGCAACTACCCGGTTCCTCGGACGAGTGCCCCCTCCACGTGCAACATCCTCCCACCGGAGAGGAGTTCGCACTCGGCTGTGGTGTGTGTCGACATGCGCACGCATTCTAAACCTACTGATATGTTGCAAATGATACAAACTACATTATTTACGCATTTTAGTGGCATATAAATAATATTGGTGCAAAGAGGATGATTCTTAAAGTTTCGTCTTTACCACGAGCTGCCGCATAGCAAAATAATCCGATAAATCCCGTTTGGACCAGTATTATTATTTATATTTTTAAAATCAATTTTAAATACAATATGTCGTAAAGTCACAACTGTGTTTTACTGAGACTGTGAGAAACAGCGTTAATTATTCTTAGATTTACTCGTATCTAAGAAAACGTCTACTAGACGTTTTGTCGTGTATTTGTATTAGACATAGGTCAATAATAAAAAATGAAGGCGATTTTAGTATATTAATAACAGAAATACGAAATTAATATAAATATTGACTTAAAAATTTATAATTTTCATTGCTTTTAGCTCATTCATGTTGCACTTGGACTATAACTGACTTCACGGACATGGACAAATATACTATGATGTTTTAAATAATTATGGAATATTTTATTCAATTGTTTTTTAATGTAAGCGGATGTTATCTTGTTAAATTTTTTTTTGTACTATTCACTTTTCGGAGTCAGCAATATAAACTCATATTAGCATAATAACTATAAAATCGCGAACCCTCCATCCATTCTTAATTATATGGCGCTTTTGTAGAGTTGGCATTTTTGATATGTATACTGTATTGTAGAATCAAGTGACTTTGTATTCAAAACTTACAGTGTGTATTCGTGGTAGAAGTAAGAAATGTAAAAATTCTACAAAATAAGTTTTATTTTAAAATTTAGTGTTTAATGATATACTTACACAGATTTCGGTTACAGAATAGTTTGAGCTACATATATTGTTATAAAGTTTGGCCGTCAAAGTAAGGAAATCGTTGGAAAGAAATGTTAGATGACATATCTTTTTGTATACTCCGAGAAGGATATATGCTATGCTGATTACAAGGTAACACTTTTATTGCAATATATATGACTACTACGAGTTAATACAATACTGAATTCATAATAATGATTTGAAATATATTTAGGACAAATTCGAAATCATAACATATTTTAACTGGAGATATTTAATATGATATTGAAAATTCCATGAACAAAGAAATTTATTGTCAAAATGTTAATGCCATACAATACACAAGCAGAGGCACACGAAACGCCTAATGGTATTTTTCTTCTTGAAGCATTCATTACAAAGGCAACACTGACTCCATGGCTTAAAAAAATAAAGCTATTTTTTAAGTTGTTGTTTTTGTTATTATGACTAATTCTTGTAACTTACAAAGTAAATCAAATATTTCAGACTTATAACTAATATCAGCCAACATTGTATATTATGGGATACACAAAAGTTCTACTATATAGCAGACTATTCCCTGATAAATCGACGTAGGGGCATAAAAGGATAAAAACGGATTAAATAATCATTTCATTCCTTTTGTGGTGTACATTGCCATTGTAATGATGATCGAACATGACGAACATACGCCAAATTGAGACACCTAGAACAAGACAAGTTTATGTATTACCATATATTCCTATTGTGTATCGTAGTTGTAATAAAAAGTATAATCGATGTTGTATTATGCCATACGTCACGCCTTCTCTTACATAATCTTGTTTTCGATTCATTTGATCGAATCCGATGTTGAGTATTTTAAAAATATTTATTATATTATAATCATCTAGTCGATTTTGTTCAAAACTAATTAATTGTACTCAGTGATGTAAGAAGTTTCAACTGGCGAAAATATTTTTTTGATATTATTAAAAAATAATGTTTTTGCTATTGCAATACCATCAGCTGGGAAAGTAAAAAATTTATTTTGGCATGACTGAGATCAATTATGTTGGTTATATTATAATTGTCGTTTAACTCATTAGTTAGTGTAGCCAATGTGACATTGTTTTTATACTTAGTCTACTCTATTTGCAGTTAAAGGATACATGTGTGAACATTTTTGTGATAGTCAATTCTAACTGAGCACCACCTTTTTGGATTTCTGAAATGAAAGTCTAACAATAATTAATGTTTAGAAAATTATTACAGTATCGAAAGTTCATTGTCCAGACGATTGTGTTTTGGCATTATGTTCATAACTTTAAAAAAAAAAACAACTTTTGGCTTAGTGGTGCTTAGAGAATAAGACAGTGGAAAAATGAGATTTTAGTTACTAATAAGTATGATAAATTATTCTAGACTACTGTTTATTTAGTATTTTATTGTTATTATTTGTCAATACCGTGTCGTACATTTCATATTGTGTAATTGGATATCATATTCTATATAATCAAAGTAATAGGTGTTGTAACAGTTTTACATATATTAATGTGTCTCCTCAATAGTTCCAAATGTATCAATAATATCTCCATAAAACGATTGGCATTCAAGTTATATTTGGCTCTCGAGTATGATTAAAACGCAGATCTTTGGTGATGGAATAAATTAAAAAATGATTGACCTTTTGTGGCCCTTGAGCCCAGATAATTTTAACTTTGGCTCAAAATTGGACTATTTATTAGACGCGTGAAGTTAGTATTTTTAATTCATACAAAATAAGCCTTCATATATATGGAGAAATTATTGAGACAACCATAGATTATTAATATTGTCGTTTACATTAATATGCACTTGGTCTGTCGATGTAACTGTTTAAAAATTTCTCCTCGTCCTATCTCTTGTCGGTTGATTGCAGTGTTCGGCGAACTGAGAGTCTGATACAGCTTGTATGTGGAAAATACTCTTCAAAGTGTGGAATTCTAAAAACTCTATCAATTTTGTGAAATAGTCAAAATTGTTTAAACTTTGTCTAAGGATAACTAAAATGTGGAAATAATTTTTGGCGTATATTATAAAATTATTTTTAAATCCTCACACGAAAATATATGTCCTGCTATTATTATATTGGATGCACCAGTCTACTACTTTATGGAAAAAACATAGATTATGAACTAGGTAAGACATTTTTCAATAAAGCTTACAAAATATGTGTATTTTTTATTTCTTGAATACCTAAATCACTCTCATTTTATTAGTTTGTAATTTCTTTTAATTATTTTAATAATTATTATTAAAAAACAAAATAGTAGCACTTGTTTCTTAAATAATAAGGATCTTTTGAGTTTTTAATCTAAATCCAGACGGATGGTCAAATAATTGCATATATTAAAATCGAATGTTATATGGTGAACGATGGTCCTGGCAATAATCAACACGCTTTGAAGTAATCAATGTTGTTGTTATAGTGAGGTATTTTTCGCCTCGGAGGACACTGCGTATTTGTAAATATATCCATGCCTCATGGTTTATTTACTATCGGGTTGCGACACGGAATGAAACATACGTAGTTAGTTCACAACCTACGAGTATTATCTTTGAGTAAACAGTCGCAGGGCGTCAGTTGATATTGCCGAATATGATAAGTAAACTAACTCCAAGAGATCGAATCGTCCGCACATCAGATATCTTCTTATCTATACTATCTAGGACGGTGCAGTTAAAATCACGCTCGAAACACATCTTGTACAATAGTTGTTAAGCAAGTTAAGTGACCTAAGTTTCAACATGATCTTTTTTTACAAATTTAAGGTAGTAAAAATTCTATATTTATATTCAATAAAATTTGTAAAAGTTTATAAAACTATTTTTGTTTAATTATAACAGTAGCATTTGTCTATTTTGAATTTTTGGATATATTAATTTTAAATATATTTAAAAGTGAAGTTATTGATACCCAGTTATTGATGTTCCTTATTACTATTTCTGTAATCAGAATTGGCTAAATTTTCGCCAAATTGGGCCTCAACTGTGTACTCTGGCCGTGGCAGTAAGTTTGAACAACACCTGGCGCGCCCCACGCGAGGCTTTTCGCTACGGTGGACTTACTAGTGCATTGTTGACAACTGTGGCATATGTGGGGGTGGCGTTGCCTGTCGTACTATTGCAACTCTCAGTAGGGCAGCTAAGTCAACAAGACGCTGTGGGTATATGGAGAGCTGTCCCGTTTTTTAAAGGTATTAATTCCTTTAATATATTCATCATATAAATAATCATAGATTTTATAATTTTAGAATAATAATAATTATATATTTTTTAACGGTAAAGTAGATCGTTATTCAATTTCCATTTTAGAATTAGTCTAATATGTATACCATATAAATTAGGATACAAATAGACTTTCCCCACAAACCCATTCCACCTTAAACTTAGCTTACTGTGGAAATTAAAGATACGAACATTCAGACTACTGTTATCAATGTGAAAGTTGCCTAAAAGGGCTGGTAGGATCAGGATGAAATTTAGTACACACGTAGTGCACACACATGACCTGGGGAAATACTTAGGCTACTGTAAAGCACCTAGAGCACCCAAGCGAAGTGAAGCTGAAGTCGCTAGATTTATATAAGTAATTTAAATAATTCAAGATAAGGGTATGGTATTTCAGGCATTGGATATCTCAGATTGTTGATATCCTACATCGGTGCCGTGTATTCAATGGTGTACGTCGGTATGTCTCTAACATACATACTCTTCACTTTGAGTGATGCTGTGCCTTTTTGGGAGTGTTTTGATCTGTCCGAGATGCCAGTAAGTAAATTCTATTATTTTAATTATTATATTGCTTACATTCGTAATTTTTTTAAATGAGCATATAAAATATTTATCTTTCAACATATTTATTTATTGTTAGAGAATTTTATATTAAAATTATACACCTAACTTATAAATGATAATTTGTTGCATGAGTATTAAACAATTAAAGAGGATTTCTTTATAACTAAAATTATTAATGAGTAATACTTTGCAGGAGGGCGATGTAGAATTATCCTATGACGCATTAGCATGCTTAAAGTAAGTAGCTATAATATTCTTTATAAGGTTTTTATTCCGATAACTGTCAGCTCTGCAGGTACTTTTGTTGTTAATGTTGGTACGTATTGGTAATGAATCTAAAACAAAGTAACAAGTATACAATAATATTATATTAGAATAATAAAATAAATTCCTAATACTAGTAGGTAAATCTGTATTAATATATCTATACTTAAAGCTGAAGTTTCTTCTTCTTTTAAATCTAAATCTCGGAAACTACCAGACCAATTAAATCTTAGTTCTTTTATCTCAATATTCAGGGTAATCTAAGCAGAATAACTATTAAAACATCGAAAAATTCACAAATAAAAAAAATTAAAGAAGAAAATCTTTTTCATACTAAGCGTCAAAACTCACCTAGGGACGAACGTGAGCGTAGCGAGGGTGAGTCGTAATAAAATAATATATATTCTAATATGCATATATTAGAATATATCCATATTAGAATATACATTATTTTATTATCCTATTCTTACTTCTCACACGTAAATTTTCATATTTTTTAGTGAAACATTATTGGCGCCAGTCAATGAACAGTCGGAGTATTACGTTGCGATAGCATTTATTGTTATTGTTCTTTGGATTCTGTTTCCTTTTATGTGAGTAATTGATCTGATTTATAGCCTTTTGTTACATCATTTTTCGTATAACAATACATTCATAATATGTTTTATTCACTGGATAATGAATTTTGACAACTAATGGCTTAACGTTCGTCATTAGTAGAGACCGGATTATATGCAACATAAATAGCTTGTTATATGCATGCAAATATGCATGAAAGATGCTTAAAATATGCACGAAAATTGACAGCGAAATTAAATGATACATTTTAGGAAACCAAACAAAGAAAAAAAGTAAGTTTTCATTTTTTTTATTTCAAAATCAGCATACAATTAGTAAGTTATCCTTTGATAGGCGATAATAGGTACAGTAACATTTCATGACATTAAAATTATTTATAACTTTTGTATACGTATACAATCAAGTATTCTTCCAAATGTTCAGTGGTAAGAATAGTTATACTAAAGAGGAGAAGTGGAGAAGGTTCGCTCTACACTCTCCACTGAGGTAACTGGGTAGAATTTAACAATAGGCCATTAGCCCTTATATTTTTTGACTATTAAATTTGGTTGGATTCCCGATAATTCATATTATCACTTATAGCGCACTGCACTCAGAAAATTATTGTAAATGTACCGATAATATACATCATAACTAGGTCTTAGGTAAAATATACTATTACCGCTGATGATGGTTTAAATATGCAAATGCATATGCAAATATGCAAATGCATATGCAAATATGCAAATGCATATGCAAATATGCATATGCACGTGCAAATATGCGAATGTATATAATCCGGTCTCTAGTCATTAGGTACTGCTTAGCTAAATAATTCCTTCTGTTGTTTTCGATGTAGGTACAATTAGTTTTGCTTGTTCTTTATACAAACAGAAGTTTCCGAATAAATGTATATGACTATACGAGTCTTTATTAATATAAATTAATAAATAAAATAAAACTCTGAGAAGATACCCAAAAAATGTGAAGTAATTCCTACAAAATTAAAAGTGAACATTATAATTTTCAGTCTATACAATCCTATCAAACTCATGAAGCGAATTTTGTATATATTCGCTCCACTGGTGCTCCTGTTGGGAATAATTATAGTGACCGCTATTGGGGATAGACAGTATGTTACATCCTTTAGCAAGAACAGCGACTGGATAAACATTATTGTACCACATTTTTGGCATGGCGCAATAACTCAAGCGTTACTATCTTCTCAGACGGCTGGAGGCTACCTATTTTCTTCTGGTGACTCGATATATAACAATATTAATGTTCAATGGTAAGGTGTATAATAATATGGTATTTTTTAAAAATATAGTTTTTTTAACTTCATAATTTTAATATGAAATTCACATAATGCATACTTTGTACAACATTTCAGGAGCACTATTTTAATTGTTGTTGCTAACATTGTAACAAGTTGGTTGGGAATATTATTTTGGTTTGCCATAGGCGGGGATGGTGATAAATCCACGAGCGGGATAGCAGTTCTAGTTCAGATATACAAAGTGGCTGCAGAGAATAATCTGAGCACCGCGTGGCCACTTCTTACTTTTGCTATGTTGACTCTGTCAGGAGTTATAACGATGGTATATTTTATTTTCCATAAATCAATTTGATAGATTAACTAATAATATTTTTACAAGAAATTGTATTCCATAAATGCATAGTGCATTTTTAAATCCTGTTCCTTACTATAATTATGATGTGTTTAAGGGTTAATCTTTGTACAGCAATTCAACAATTGTTTCGTACGGTACCCTCTACATCTCTCCTTGTAGCTTAACCTTGCTAGGCTGAGGTGCGTCCATAGGTGCCTAACAGTAGCCTATTTGTCCAGGTCACATTATATCTGTGTATTAATGTTCATCCAAATCGGTCTAGCTGTTTCAATGTGAAGGAGTAACAAACATACATTCGTATATACAAAGTTTCGCTATTACTAATAAGTGATTTCCGTGGAATATTAGTTACAAAAGGTAGAGTTTAAGCGAAACGTGCTGAGAATATAATATAGCCTTTAACTGTTTATTGAACCAAAAGATTAAAGAATACGGTTTTTTTTTCATACCTACAGCTAACATTTCTCTATCCCTTATACGACCGCTTTCGGCGCGTGGGCGGCTATAAATGGCGACACGTGTCTATGGGAAGCTCAATCATGGGAATAGTGGGCGCGTTGGCTTTACTAGCTATAGGACATCCAGCATTTACACTGCTAGAAGATATCGTCATCCCTTTACTACTCAGTGTAGCTACAACACTGGAGGTATCGGTATTTATTTTTATATATGGTGAGTAGATATCTATTAGTAATATAAAGTCATAATATTTAAACATTTTAATAAAACTTCCTAAATTGTTAAATTATACAAATACTAGCATTTTCCTGCGGCTCCGCCCGCATAGTACATTAATCACCAACATATCATATACTTAAATCTTCTCCGAAACACGCTGCATCTTATGGTAAGAGTATTATTCCGTTCGGTTCAGTAGTTATTGCAGTATAACCGAACAAAAAAAATCGGCTCTCTATTTATTAGTATAGATTTCATGATTTTTACCTATATATATTTTTATAACTACTTATTTGTTTATATTTTTAAGTTAGTTTAAATATACTATCATTATTATTTTTTTCTTATCAGGTTGGAAAGTACTAGTGAAAGATATCGAGTTTTTAATAGAAACTAAACTGGTCACGTACTGGGTGTTGGGTTGGTGCGCTACTCCTGGTATAATTATCCCTTTCACATTATGGTGGTCCATATCGTTTTTCCTGGATGAAATTAGCTGGACTAAAGTTCCTTGGGAGTGTTCCGGCATCGTTGCTACTCTTTGCACAATTTTATTAACAACAACAATATTCGCTGCCGTATCGGTAGCGAGACAAGTGCAATATGACTTCATCGGGGTAAGATACAGACATTATCGTTTTTGCGATTAAAATTCTGGCATTGCGAATATTTATGCTTGACATGAATGCGAAGTAGCTTACTAATTTTCCGTAAATGTTCGTCTAAGGACGAGACCTTGCGAATAAACGATCATAACATTTGCCTCATTTGATGTTTCCTCATGTAGTGAAATACATAATATACATTTTGAGGAAGTAGATACCTCATTTTGGGTTTTATTGCAGAAGCTAAAGTCATCATTTAAGCCTTCAAGACATTGGGGGCCACGTGATCCTATTACACATCACTATTGGCTGTCTAGACGCGAGGAGGTAGACCGACACCCAACGGGTACGATATATCGCAGACGTCAATTAGGCCAATTCTCAGGAACTTCCAGCGTCGCTGATATATCTCTTCATGTTAAATCGAGCCCCTCAACTCAGATTAAAAGGAGATCTAACTCTGATGACTGGCTAATCATTTATCGAAAAAAGAACATTGCCGAATTATATCAAGTTAATATAGAGAACAGAAAACGATCTAAATCTTTAGATTGGGATGTGATGCCGAAAGTTAAATTACATGTTAAATGCGATATAAAACAAATAAATGATATCTACAAAGCTTCTTCCGGCAACTCAATTTATTCTATTGAAGATACGAACTATAATATTCCATCGAATGTTAAAAAGGACCTTGTGTGAATTGTATCGATTAGATTATGTATGTACAATATGTGTAGTTTGTTATGTCTAGTCACGTTTTGAAATACAAAGTACTTCTTAATCGATACCGGGTAATACCCTTCTCTTCGAATATGCAATACCAAAAATATAGTAAGAATTATCATTAATAAAATTTAATTCGTAAATTACTTGTTTCATTTTTAAACAATCCCGATGCTTCTAATTATGGGGGAATATCAGAAAAACGATCAGTTATAAGTTAATATAGTAGAACATGATTATATTTTAAGATGATTATAAAAATAATATTATATAATAATTTTTATTTTAACCTAGAATGCTGTGCACGGGGCCTCCCCTAAATGCGGAGGGCACTAGTCCACCAAACTAGCCAAGTACGAATGCGGAATATACACATTATACGAGACCTAGTTAAATTCTTTCAGGCTTGCAGGTTTTCTTACGATGCTTTTATTTATCATAATAAAAATCCATACTAATATTATAAATGTGGAAGTTTGTTTGTTTCTTTGATTGTCCTTTTTTCAAGGCTGCAGAGTGACATAGGCTACTTTTTACCGCGGGAGATTATTTTATTCTCACATTATGATACAACTCAAAATAATATTTATGATCAGAATTAATTGAAACTTCTATTAATGCTCTTCAATATAATAAAATAAATACGTGTTTTAGCATTTTTCGAAATTCATGCCATAAGGGGGTAAAATAGAACATAAAAGTTTGTATGAATCGGATTTTTAGATATTTTTTTCTAGTTTTAGAGCGAGCGAAGCCGCATGGTGTGGTCCTAATATATAATTTTAAGTTCATTACACTCAATTATTTTTTTATTTAGTACTTACCTTACCTGACTTTTACCATGAATTATCATAAAAAGTATTTTTTTTACATATTGATTTGTAACATTATACCTAATAATTATTATCTACGTCAAGCCATTCCATTGAACATTTTATTTTCAATTCATTTTACTTCCTAGATTTTTAAAGATATTTGGGTTGTTAGTACCTACTTGATGGTTAAGTCAGTTAAACCGAAACGTTCATTTATTTATGTATAGTTTTATTCTTGCTGTCACTTACCTACATTGTACATCTTTTTTAATACGCCGCGCCGTGAAGAATTAACCAAATCGTTTAATAATTTTGTAATAAAATTTTCAAAGTATAAACGCTCCAGTCAAGCACTAAGGATTAGTATTAAGCTTACTAAGAAATTCAGTTATTATGAATGCAACTGTAGTATATCATGTAACTGCGGTTTCTTGGCAAATTATTTGATCATATTTTATATTTGCAGGTACAATGCCCGTATAACAAAGTGTCGATCACTTTGTTTTTCGGGCAGTGAAGTAGACCAGATTAGTACAATTACAATACCCGGTCTACGTGACATTTGTTCTTATTTGATGACCTTCCACTAGGAAGATGACTCGCTGCCACCATATAAAGCTTCGCGCCTATCCTTTGTTGACAAGATTTACACTCAAGTATGCCCGTCGCATACTTAGTGCGTCACTGAAAGGATGTGGTGAAAAATAATTGCACATTAAACTGTTTTCGTGCAGACCTATTAATTATTTATTTGGATGTACTCGTATAGCTACACTATAAATTATATCTGTATTTGGTACTTGAATGTATTGTGTTTCACCCAGACATACTTTTTTATTTTGTAAAGTGTTACATATTGAATATATTAAGCGATAGCCTTATAACTATGTTTTTATAAGAAACTAGCGACTCACCCTCGCTCTGCTCGGGCTTGTCCCTACGTTTAAGGTTAGTACAGATTTCTCAGAGATGAGATATTTTCCTGCAATAAAATGACATCATATCAGTCATTATACCAAATTCTATCAAAATCTGTCCAGTGGTTTTCTCTTGATGCGTTCCCAAACACACAGACAAACAAAAAATCTAAAAATAATACCTCTGTATCAATAGGTAATACTAACGATTATTTCAATAAGTTTTTGGAAAAAAAATGTTATATGTATTATTTAACAATAATATAATAGTCTATATTTAAATATACTTATCTTTTAAATAAAACTATCTTATCGGATTATTTCGCGAATTTATTTAGATTTTTGGTTCCCGACGTTTTGAATGCTGTACAGTGCAGTACAATCATGGTCACGGGAGAGACTTATTCAGAGAAATAATCCGAATACTTTTATTTAAAATGTCAAATATTCGCGTACATCTAAGGAAGTATTATACTTACCTTTTAATTACTTTTATTCACATGCGTGCGACACATATATTTAATGTACACAAATTGTGTGTTGGATGATTATTTCTCAACCGACTCGTGACGTAGAGACATTAAACTGGGCATTGTGCGTAGTAAATAAAAGCAGCATTCACATATTTTGTTGTGGCGTATCACGTAAATTTAAAAAAAATATATTTTCTTTAAGTTAAAAAAGTAGGTACAGGTACAGGTCTGTGCAATTCACACACGGTAGAAGCGAAACTTCAGAAAAGTAACTACGAGAGAATGAGATGAATATAGAGTATCAGAACTAGGATAATTATAAGGTTTATTTTTTTATAATATTTTTACCAAGTTTAAAAGTTATTCTAATAAATACTTTAATAATACGTAAAATATTTTTTGAATTACCTATATACAATTAAGTTGCAATCATACTTAACTATAAACAATTTCAATGTATTTGTAGAGAATTACCAATAATTTCTTCGCAGATTATGCTTGAGTCATCTTATTTGTTTACGTGCAATGATTTAGCTATGACACCGTGACAAGGGCGACATGGATCGACAATTACAAAACGACGAGGCGTGTCGCTAGCCATGAAGCAGGAAGAGTTTTTACTACGCTACGATAAATGGTTTCGTGTCACATATTTCCTCCAACTTATTGCAATTAAAATTATGTTTGAATTACCATAAACAATACAATCTGTAAAATAGTAGTAACAATACCTAGGGTAACGACACGATTAATGAACTCATACATATTTTTTCCATCTTTATTGCTAGGTTGACATTTACAATTGATATTTTTCATATTTTAATATTATAACGTTATATTCCAAATAAGTAAATTTATAAATTACTAGCGATTCATCCTTGCTCCGCTCGGGTACGTCCCTAAGTTGATTCCCCATACAAACTTTCATCCACATTTTCACCCCCTTAAGGAATGATTTTGGGAATAAAAAGTATCCTATGCCTTCCCAGGGTCTCAAACTATCTTCTTACCAAATTTCATCTAAATCGGTTCAGTAGATCCAGAGATTACCCCCTACAACGTCACAAACTCACAATTCACAAACTTTACCTCTATAATATTAGTATAGACTAGGGACTTTTGCTCGCTTCGTTCGGATACATCCCGAGATGCCTTTCCTATTTATAATATACCTACTATACTCAAAGCATAATATCAATTCTCAAAACATAGATTTAAACTGCGTAATCAGCATTTCTTCTTCTCTAGTACTATTAGTAGTACAATTAAATGAATAACATTATACCTACTCATTTTCTCTACTGCGTGTTGTTTATTCCATCGGCTCCTTCCTATCTGAAAGAGCGTTTTGAATTTCTGAGTGACTCTTATGCTCTGAACAGATTTTATCCTTAAAATTCCTAAACACATTCATCATTTCATGTTTTTTTTCTAATTCTTTTATTGTAAAAGACTTTAGAAATCTCTTCCTGTGAAGGTTAGAAGTTCGAGAAGTCTAGTAGAAACATTTAAGATTTTAGTAAAAAAATATTTCCTATTCCTTTAGTCTTTTTTTCGTTTCACATTATCTTGCTTTTTTCTAATATTATAAATGTGAAAGCTTAGATGTCTGGATGAATATTTTTTACTCTATCACACCAGAACGGCTGAACGGATCTGAATGAAATTTGGCACAGTGACAGATTATATATATATATATATATATATATATATATATATATATATATATATATATATATATATATAGTTCCAGTGGGATAGATTTGTTCTTGTTTTCCGCTAGTCTATGCAGCATCTATTTTTGTTATTCGTATAATACTGTGTAAGTGTATATTTATGTACATATGTATGTACATATGTATGTATATGTATTTTACAATAATTTAAGTATGTATTGGAAATATACAATAATAATATGGAACGAGGCAGTCTCCCGCGGTAGGAAGTAAGCTTAGGTCACTCTCCAGCTCTCCAACTATCTCCTCACATATCACGCCAATCCGTCACCTGTTTTGACGTGAAAAAAGGACAAACAAACGAACACACTTTCACATTTAACATATTAGTATACATACAGGTAGGGCTACCTTTCGAAACTTGTATTTCATATGAATTTGTCTAGCCATTTCAAAGTAAAGAAGTAACACACATACATACATTCAAACTTTTGCGCATTTATTAAAGTAACATGTTCAATTTTAAAGGACTACCTGATTCAAACAGATTTTAAATAATATAGTACTTACAAAGTTATGAGTAACTAAAATTAAAAATCGACCCTGGAATTTATCGATTAATAGCAAAGTCACCACAAATATATAAGCAAAAGCTTACTGGTTGTGGAGGTGTGCAGTAAGTTTCTGTTTTTTCCGAATAGCTGTGACGCATTGCGACATCGGCCGGATAAAACAATTAGCAGCTGACTAATGCGAATAAAATTACTACTACGTATCAAAACTTTTTGATTTACGTACCTACTTGTAAAGCTTATTGATCACGATTTATAAGACCTGCACTATCATGTATGATACTATGGTTCCTAACATGTTGTTTACGCATATCACGGATTAGATACCATGTACTTCGTACCTATTGCATTATAAGTAGAACATTATAAACTTGGATAAAAAATAAGTTGCATGGTTAGGGGATACTTAATGCGTCGTTTTAATAGTTAATATCATATGGATATTTCCATACCCTTAGCTTGTCCATTTCATTTAATGCAGGTGAAATTGCGAACGAGAACTTGTTGCACTTAAGAGTAGCTCTCAACGTAGGTAAAATTCCAGTTGTGTCATCATACTCGAGTGGATTAATCTTTTCCGCCCACCATTATTTAAGTATTTTACTGTATAGAATGACTAAATTCTTAGATTTCTAGAATTCTAGTGCTTAGAGGACTCGCCAAGTCGAGAGCCGACAGGCTGACCGCCGAGTGTACCTACTCATCGTGCGATGGCATGTCGAGTGCGCATTCGTGTTTGAAACAGCGCGCGAAGCAGATCGCTTTGCGGTTACGGTCGTGCGTTTTACAACTTGGTATTTGTGGTAGTGAGCTTGAGTGATGTCGAGGGATAGTCCCAGACTGAGTCGGCTGGGCGTGCTTGCTCCAGCGGCCCTCTCCGCCTGCATGGACGCCTCCGTGTTGGCGGTGCCTGCCGCCGGGGCTGTCGTTTCAACAGTCCTTAAGGAACTCAGCAAAGCTTTTATGCTGAAAAAGTAAATATAAGCATTATTAAAATTATTATACATTATAATACTATAAACGATTACGAAAATGTATATTTGAAATATCAACTTCAAATTCAATGTTGTGGTCTTGGTTCCCTAATAGTTTATTTATTCTATATAGCATTACTGTATCTACGGATTTTTGCATTAATTTTTAAACGGTGTTGTTTATTTTCATATACCTACATAGATGCTAATTGCTTACTCAATTCTTGAATGTTTCAAATTTAATTTTCACCTTTCGTTGATCGACGAAGTTGAAATTTTGCGAACAGGCTTAGTTCTAAGGTCAAAATACTGTAATGACAACTCCAGGTTTCATTTTTTTATTCTAGTGCTGGTTCTTCAAACCATTGCTTTTCAAGGATTATGGATTTTAAAATACTGTGTGGCCATTAAGAACTGGTTCTGGTTAATCAAAGTCAAGTCATTGAACAATTAGACATGAAGATTACATTAAGGTTCCAATTTTCAATCCCGATCATGATGCGATGAACGTTGTACCAATATGTGTATGATATATCCATACTATACTAATATTATAAATATGAAAGTGTGTTTGGTTATTTGTCCTTCTTTCACGTTGGGACAGAATGACTGATTAGCGTAGCATAGGCTACTTTTTACCGCGGGAGATTATCTGATTCCCTCGGGAAAACCCGTTACAATACAACCCACAACAACTCATTATACCTATGTATATGTATATACAATGTACATAATATATGTGTATAGTCTATCTATTCCATACTAACCATTAAAACATATATAGGTAAGGTCAAACCCGAGCGAAGCGAGGGTGAGTCGCTAGTTTTATACATAACAATATTTCTTGAACGAAAATTCATACTAGAGTATGCAAACAATTTAAGAAACCGACCAGGCTAAAATATATTTTGAGGGACCTGAAAGTTTAATAGTTCGGCCTTCTTATCTTTTATAACTTTGTTACTCTCTTTTGTGAACTGATTTTTATTAAATAAAACATACCTCGCGGTATTATTTTTGTTAACTATACTATATCTACAAATATTTTCATTTATTTATTTTCAGTATTTTATGATTCGATTGCTCATTAAAATTACTTGGAGGGCTGGCAAGTGCCATAGGCTACTTTTTACCGCGGGAGATTATCTCATTCCCACAGGAAAACACGTTATAAAACAATATAAAAAATATTTATGATCAGAATTACTTGAAACTTGATATTATTGCTCTTCAATAAAATTAAATAAACATGTGTTTTAGCATTTTTTGAAATTAATCTTATAAGGGGGTAAAATAGGGGTTGAAAGTTTGTATAAAACTACCTTTAGTTTTTTTTGTAGTTTTAGCGCGAGCGAACCCGCGGGTTCTGCTAGTATTTTATAATTTATAAAATAAACTGATGAAAATTAAAAGATTAAAGTATGTATTTATTATGTCCGGTCGAATTCGTGTTTTACTAGAAGATGTATGTAAATTATCGTATTATCATATTTTACTCATTTTTGTTATTTTGTTTACTTGAATTTTTAATAAAATATAATAATTTTAATATTGTAAAGAGAATAGTACGAGTATAATATCAAAATATATGTATGCATGTTAATATGCGAAATGTCAGAAAGCTCTACATGGATCCTACAGGTATAAATTATGTGCATCAAGCTCGATTCGATAATAGATATCATAAGCACTTCAAATGTATACGATAATTACCATGAAGAATCCATTTAATATAAGGACAGATCGATCGACGTGCTTGAGATAAATAATAATGTATTAATCTGGTCACTTAACAAGCGCATGATCGTTATAATTAAATATTTGCTACTCGCACGCTACAATGTTATTGTCAGGGTGTACGCTTAATATTCATGAAGAGTTTATTAAAGCATATTGGATTCAATACAACACGTGTCCAATAATATGTCATTCTAAAATAATCAGAATCCATTATAGTATACCTCAATAAATATGTATATATGTATGTATATTGTATATGCTTAACCGTTATATTTATCTTAAACACGCTTGATCAAATACAAACGAATGGTTCAAAGTATGTATGTGATGGTTACCTCTAAATCTTGACATCAAGCTCGACTTTGTTATATCATGTGACGAAAACGTATTACAAAATATTACCAACGTCTACTTCCTAATCTGGTGTCTGTAGGCAACGTTTTCGTGACGAAAGAGCGGAGGTCGCGGAGGCGGACCGGAGGCCGCTGGGCTGCACTGATTTATCTCGCCGTTTGGAGTACTGACAGATTCACTTACACTTACTTCCTAATGCTCATAACACTGACCTCACATTTAGTACGTGTTCGTTCATCCACTGCTAATCCGAGGCAGAAATGAATAAAAAAATGTAAAATACTTGTTACTTATACGTGTAACGAATACCGGTAGGTTATCAATGAGACCTGAGAAACTTAGCGTTTTTGTCTACTCTACGCATATATTAACGCAAAGACGTCGCTGTACCTAACGTATAATTATCATTGGTAAGAGAAAGTTAATTAATATGTAATAAGAAAAAAATTGAGAAGTAATTTAACAATTCATTTTTGTGTAAAAAAAGTAAAATGGTATAGTTTGCCTCGTTAACAAGCATTCATTGTATGATCGTTTAATAATATTTCGTTTAACTTTAGCGTAATGCGGTGACGATGCGACTCGCATATTACCTACCTACTGCTTGCCTTTTGCCGTGGCATTGCTCGCGCTTTGTAAATATTGATCAACCTTGGATATAAAGAGAATTATCATCGCGTATTCAATGTCAATGTCTAGAAGCTCAAAATGAATTCCTCTTGAAACAACACGCGCTTTTTATTAACTTATTTTGTCGTTTTCTGTCGTTACTTTTTATAAAAAACTAGCATTGCCCGCGGCTCCGCCCGCGTTCAGATGACCAAAAACTAAATTCTTAGGTGTTACATATTAGTATACTCTTACATTGCAGTTTTTGTATTTTTCCTCAGAAATAAGATATTTTCCCGCGGTAAAAAGTATCCTAGGATCGCGCGCTACATCGCCCGGTTTATATAGCTTGAGCAGGCGGTCGAGCGATGCGGGGCAGAGGGGATGGACTCGCCGTAGGCATCTCAATGCTCGCCAAGCATTAAAAATGTTTCGCTACTAATTACTTCTAACAACGATATCTCAAAAACTATTCATCTGATTGATTTAGTGTAAAGAGCAATTTTAATCTGCATTAAATGACTAAGCTAACTAAAATATTCATTTGGATAAGGATTAATACCGAACTAAAGAAAATAACTTTGAAAATAACGTAATGTTTTTAATTAAAAATGTTAACATAAAAGTGGTTATTGTAAGTCAACCGTAAGAGATAGAGATATGCTATCGCGGACTTTTTTGTAGCATTTTTATAGATTTTGAATTCTCTAGTACATTACTTAACTGTATCTTTGCTAGTTTACGCGGCGTTCGCGTGGAAAGTTCCCATTTGGCGAGATTTTTTGCGACCTCTTCAACATTTGTCGCCGTATTTCAGCTAATTTACATAAAAGCATAATAAATTATATACCTAAACCTTCCTCAAGAATTACTCTTTCTATTGTTGAAAACCGTATAAAAATCCGTTCAGTAGTTTTCGAGTTTATCGCGTACAGACAGACAGGAGGACAGACAGGAGGACAGAAAGACGCGGCCGGGGGACTTATTTTTATAATAAGTATAGATAAAAGCATAATAAATTATATACCTAAACCTTCCTCAAGAATTACTCTTTCTATTGTTGAAAACCGTATAAAAATCCGTTCAGTAGTTTTCGAGTTTATCGCGTACAGACAGACAGGAGGACAGACAGGAGGACAGAAAGACGCGGCCGGGGGACTTATTTTTATAATAAGTATAGATGATGTGCTACAAAATATTAGGCACTAGCATCTTTCTCCGCTTCCCTCTTGCATCCCTATACAGTACGTTTTACATTATGCATAGATGAACACGCTATCGCTGAGTTTCCCGTGGGCCTTTTTAAATTCAATTTACTTTTATACAATTTTCTAGCACATTGTTCAATATACATGGTTTAGAAGAAGTAAGCAAAGAATTAGATAGCGACTTGGTTTTATACTATGGATAAATAGATAAGCGATTTGCTCTCGAAGTAAATTTTACGTTTGTCTCTGAAAATGAGAGATTTTACTGTATTTAATTGAAAATTTACTACTAACACTAAATTGTTAAATATTAAGTTAATCGTTAACCTTACAACTAATAGTTTTGTAGCAGTATCGCATAAATCATTGATGTATGAAGTAGGTACAATTCGACCGATACAGTTCTAGTGTTTTCCTGGGAATAACAGATTTTTCTGTAGTAAAAGGTATCCAAATATGCTAAAACTACACAAAATTTTGGTTAATTTAATAGTTGTATTTTACTGTATTATATATTACCTGGTTTGAATACCGGTTCAGGCCAGTTTATATAAAATATATATATATATATATATATATATATATATATATATATATATGACGGTGAGTTTTATATATCCCTTACTTGAGAAATGATTGATTCGCCATACTAACTTTCATCCCCTTTTACATGCCCATTATGGGATTTCCGGGATAAAAATTATCCTATATCCTTTCCAGGTTTTCAAACTATTGTCATACAAATTTCGCCTAAATCGGTTGAACAGATTTTTAGATTATATTATATCTATTATTTTCTCTTTATAATAGTAGTATAGACTGTATAGATAAAAAGTACCTACATACGCGTCACTGCTACAAGTCGTTATAAGTATCCTTATGATTTGTTAAATTTATAAGTCTTTGTGAAGTTTGTTACACTTAATTGAATTTCCGACGTAATCCTACATGTATGTAATGCAGCTTATTTATAATTATAATTAAGGAGTCTCTTCTTAGTTATGATAGTGACTTTGCAATATTTTCGTTACAGTTAAGATCATTGCCGACTTTTGCCTTTTTTGATTGAGAACCAGTTTTCCATCCTGTAATTTAAGAAGGATATTTTAAATCCGCAAAGTAACAATGCAAACAAAAAGGTATTTATTGTCATTATTAGGCACTACTGTCGGCTTGGGATGCTCTAGGGAGTCCTCCTGAAAAAGCCGGCGACAAACTCATAAAAATACTTTTTACTCTTTAATATTAGCATTTTGCTTAGTTATTACTTTTAAAATAAAAAAATAACACCTATATTGACCTATACATAAATATGTGACGTCCCAAATACGATATTATCCTATCCAAATTTGAATTATTTATGTGCATCAAGTTCATTTTTCTCCTTTAAAAAGTAATTCGTACTACATATTAAGATTATTTAACAAAAGTAGCGACTCACCCTCGCTTCGCTCGGTTAGGTTGATTCCCCATAAAAACTTTCATCCCCATTTGGGATAATTTTCGGAATAAAAAATAAGCTATGTCCTTCCGAGGATCTCAAACTATCTTCTTCCCAAATTTCATCTAAATCGGTCCAGTAGTTTTTGAGTTTAGTCGTTACAAACATACGAAAATACAAATCTTTTCCCTTTATAACAGTAGTGTAGGAGAAATTATCAAAATGGTGCAGGCATTCTCATGTGTGTGATTACCAATAAACAATATCTCATTTTTATTTTTAATTATACGAGTATAGAGTAGGTATAGGTAGATGTATCATGCCTACATTCAAAAATTTGGCCTAAGAATTGTAATAACTTTGAAATACCATCGGAGCTATCATATTAAGTTAAATCTGTTTTGAAAATAAAAATTGAATTGAAATTTCTCATTTTATGTATACAGATGGATACATTTATTTACATATTTTCATGTATGTATGGACATTGCTTAATGCAGTAAAGTTCTTGTAGTAAACACACCATAAATCACATAATCATTACATAACTTAGTGATTTATTGGTCGGTTTATATTTGTAGTAGGTATATGGTACATATAATGTGTAACCGGGAAAGGATATTTGACATTTAAATTTTAGAATAAAAATTAAACGCATTATTATACATAATGAAACAAAGCAATGGGATATGGATGAAAAGTACCTTAAATATTAAAAATACCAACGGGCGAAACTTTATATCCAAATTTTAGGTCCTGCTTTTTTCCATGTCCCGTTCGTTTATCTTGCATACCATAATACATGATACTTCAGCGGTTTGTCATATGTAATTATTATACCTAAATTGAAGATTTTCGTATATATGATTATAAAAACGAAAATAAGGGCTGCGATTGCGAACAGTGCAACGGTGTCAGTCACCTGCGTAAGGTGTGGGACCGGTTTGAAAGCATTGTAACAATTTTTTTTTATATCTTATATGCAATTCAAATATTTCAATATAAAAACATTTTAAATTCTAATATTTATTTATCATTGTTATGTAGATATCTATAAAGTTTTTGATATGACATCAGAATATAATGTCGTCATACTTACCAATAGTAGTGAGTAGTGATGCATATGACTCTAATTTTATTTCTATCAATTTTCATACCTTTTCTTTTAAATTGGCAGAGAATCATACGAGATTCCCCAGTTTAATGTAAGTATAGGTAATATATTATGGAAATAATAAATTAGTACATAGTAAATTTATAGTCTCTGTCGAATGCAAAATATATAAATTTTAGTGATATTCGGCCAGACGCAAACCCTGTTATTTCTATCGGGGAAAACCATATCTGCGTATAACTTGGTCATCGCGTATAACGAAGATATCTAATAAAAATGAAACAAGGACGAAACGTAATAGTAATTTTGTCTACTAATGAGATTTCCACAAAAGCAATGTTACTGGGTTAGATATACATTATTTTTAAGTACTGTTTTTAACTATGTATTTTATTAAAATTTGTATTCAAGAGAGAATAATAGCGGAAATATAAGTATATATTTTTCTGCTGCTGCCTTATTTCAAAAATCATTAAATTCGTGTGACATTATTTATGGATTAATTGGATATGGATTAATTAATTGACCCTTAATTACTCGAAAGTAAAATTAGGTATTAAATTTATGACAATTTCAGATGGTATCATGGGATTATGTCAGCGAAGGAAGCAGAACACTTGATGATGGAGAAAGGCAGAAACGGCTCCTTCTTGGTGCGTGAGTCGCAGACGCATCCCGGAGAATACGTGCTGTCTGTGCGCGTGCGTGGCCGAGTCAGCCATGTCATGATCAGACGGCAAGTAAGTTTAGAATGTTTTATTTTTTTTAATAATCATCACGCATTTTATTGGAAAAAACAGCTACAGTGTCGCTTTTAGTTTGTCTCTATTTTTATCGTATTGAGACTAAATATCGGTTAGTGACGCACAAGAGCTACGCTATTTTAGAAATGTAGAAATAAAGCCTAAATTTTGCCAGATTTTTAATTTGACGAGGAGGTACCTACATAAATATGAGTAATGCCTATATTAATTTGACGATTTTATTTCTTAAACTTATTATAGTACAACTTGAATTTCTTTCACTTCTAAAGTACCTACATATTATCAAACAAATCTATCCTCCGGGAACCTTATATTTTTCCGGGATAAAAAGTAGCCTATGTGTTATTCCAGACTATAATCTATCTCTGTGCCAAATTTCATTCAGAGCCGTTCCGCCGTTGTGGCAACTTTCATATATATATTTTTATACAGACTTGACGGGGTAGCAATATTCTACCGACATCAGCTTTAGTGATTATGAATATTGTGGGCGTTTTCAGGGCTCAATGCGGGCACAAAATAAAGTATTCAATGCTCTAGATACATTTAAATAACGGAAATAATAATGTTATAAACTTAAAACGATAATCCTAATAGTTTAATTGTAAAAAAATATTTAATATACAGATTAGGCTTATTTACAATTTTATTATATGTGTAGATTATAAACGAAATGCAATTTTACTCTTTTATTTGAAATATACTTATTTTAAATATTCAATAACTATGTTCCAAATTATTGATTATTGTATTATTTTTTTCTCATTTGCTCTGATTTTATTGTTCCATCAAATGCCATTCCATCAAATAATATCCGTAGGCAGTACAATGGCAGTAAAAAACTAATGCTAATTATTCTGTGCGACGACTTTTAAGTTTTTTGCTTGTTACAACTGTTTTAGTTTTGCCGCTTCCTACGCATCGAAGTAAGTACATAATAAGTATACGTAAAGATAATTATATTATTTTATGGCAACTATGATGTACTATATTTGTATGTGTATGTAATTTATAGGAGGTATACCGATAAATTTAAAATTTGATAAAAGTATTAGGTACTAATACCAACATGTAATATATTCTTATTTTCACATTTAGTATTTAAAAATATTTGAAGGGAAGTGTGGAAATCGTAGTGCTCCTAGAATTCTTGTCAATCTGTTCTTGACGAATAACATGACATAAAGTTACAACAATTAACACTGAAACCCTGCACAAATTCAAATAATCGGTAGGCACTCAAATCTCTGTACTATGAGATTGAATTAAACAGTGGGATAAATGATTATGAAAAAACACGCTAAAAGAAATTCACACCCAGCTCAAGTCAGCATGATTAGAACTACTATATAGATTTGGTATAGGTATAATTATTCTTTTGCTTGTTGACAAAATTGTCCGCTCCATTTAACCGAACTGTGATTATTTTAATTACCAAATGTATGATATAATTGAGGTAATTTTCGCGAGTATGTGTATAATTTGAAAAATAAGGCAGACTTTTTGTGTCGAAGTATTTATCTCACAAAAGATATTTAATGATACCTATGATCGACGGACAAAACAATTTTAAGCAGAGATACTTAAGTACGTATATGGTTATAGAAAATACTAATACATATAATACGTATCATAACGTTCGCTTCTTTGGCTAAAGCACGGGTCGATGACACTAGCTAATAGAACATGACTGGTCTACATGGCGTGATTCCATAATATGTATCGTAAATGATATTAAATTAAAATATTTTATTTTTATAATTTGGTAACAACGAACAAAATTAGCAAAAATAAAATCATCAAATCAAATTTCAAATCATCAAAAATCAAATAATATAATTTATTTACAAAAGATATAATATACGCGTTCTCATGGCTTTATAATTTCATATTTGAGTGCTGTAAATATTGTAATAGCAAATGATATAGGATATAAATAAATAGCCGATACACATTTATGTCGTTTCTAAAAGATTCTTATAATTTTGATTGAAGTGAGTAACGTAGTCTATACATATAATAAAATTGTAACTAAACCGAATTTGTACATTAGATATTTTTTGGAAAATCTTATTGAAATAAACATTATTATCGATACAGAGGCCGAACCTATAGTTTTTACAATTTTTGTCTGTCTGTCTGTGTGTTACCGCATCATAGAAAAATCACTGGAGGGATTTTTATGACATTTGGAAAATTTAATTTGTCAATATATAAAATACTTTTTACCCTGGGAAAATATCTCATTTCTAAGAAAAAATACAAAAACTGTAATGTAAGTAATATGTAAAACCTAAGAATTTAGTTTTTGCCCATCTGAACGCGAGCGGAGTTGCGGGCAATGTTAGTTACTTAAATATAGCTATACAGTAGTGCCGGATACACGCACTCCCTTTTTCTCGTAGACGTAGTAATTTTCGCACGTTATAAGGTGCTAAATACGATTAAGGCTATTTAGGTATAATATATGTATATAGAATTCAACACAAAACGTCCTTGCTTTTAAGGCAATAATCTATGTCACACTTATACGCCAACAATAAGTCTTTGTTACCTAAATAAGCACTAAAACGTATTAAAATATGATCTAATAACTAGTTATTGCGGCTATATATAGTCTTCTGTTTAGCTTAGAACCATTAATCATCACCCTCGCTTTATACAAAAAAAAATCATTCGATCAATTTAAAATTTATGTTAATCATAATATCAGATATCAACGTTATTTACATCTTATAATGAAATATTAAAATCTTATTTTATCTATTAATCAATCTGATTTTCATAGCTGCTGTTTAGAATGGAATGAAGCAGTTCCTAAATCTAAAAAAGTATTAAGCTAACATCTTTTTTAATGAAATTTTCGTTGTAGAATGTATAAAAATGTAAGTAGTACATATAGTTAATTTTTTTGATGATAAAACTTGTCTGGAACTATTAAAAAATTACTTATTTTTTTTCTCAATTTTCTTTGTCGTAGAGTTTGGGATGTGTTATGTGTACTAACCTTTTGAGTTATAAAACAATGAACTTTTACATAAACTTTCTTCTGTAAATTAACCACTTAGGGCGAAGAGTTTTCAGAAACACTAACACAGTGCTCACCTTCGTTGTGTAAGGAACTCTTTTGTATGCTTTTATAATATTAGAGTCAGGTGGCTGCGCGTAGTCAGTTAGTTAATTTTTGACGTGGTAGTTTGTGTACTTTGCTTAATATCTTAATTCTTATTTACTAGCAAATTCTCACACGACGCCATGTTATATTTCGGAAGAGTTATGAAATGCCGGCTCGGTGTACACTGGCCCTATAAATCTTATCGTATCAACTGCACATTGCATATTATCCATAATTGTTATACTTCCTAACCGATTCTGACTGCCTAGTACTTTTATGCAACATTGTTGCAAGAGATGCAGGCAATGAAAATCTCAGCTTCTGTATCGAAATAACAAACAAGGCTTTGTAAAAATATCAAAATATGGTATAATGTATTTTAAAATATAGCATTATTATTGAAATAGATTATAAAAATGAATTATTATAAACATTACTTATATTACTATTAGTACTAATTTCAATATCATATAATAATTTAAAAGATGCTCGTAACGTAGGTACTTGTGACGAGGTGTCCTATTTTTAACAAATCCCTTATATTTCACTTTAATTAGAACATATACATACTATATCAAATAAAACGTGCTATATATTTTAGAACATAAAATCATAAAAGCCTAAAGTAAAACTAACTAACACGTGAACTAAAATTATAAACTATCAAATATTTGTATGTTATTATTAATTATTATATCATTAATTTTAAACATAATAAGGACATAGTATATATAGAACCGATAACAATAAATTGCATTCGTGATAACAGGAGAGTAGAAATTAATGCTGTCGAAAGGGGATAAAGTGTATCTCGAGCGCAAATGAACCGGAGATAGAACATTATGTATATTCATTTCTATAATCTATACATATAATAAAAGCGTACCTGATCACGGTCTGTACATGGAAGATATTTGAATAAAAACTATATATTATTAAGGGCCTTAACGCAATAGAACCCAAAACAACGTTTTAAAGAATTTTCGTCTGTTTGTCTGAGCGTTTGTGCGCGCTAATCTCAGAAACGGCTTAACCTATTTGGGTGCTGTTTTCACAGATGAACTATGGTGAGCTTCACTTAACATTTAGTATTTCAATCGGTTAGTTTATATTTAGACACATGGCACAGCAGGAAATGAGGTGATTTTTTGTAGTATTGTACTCTTTATCACATGATTATAAAAAAAGTAAAAACGTGAGAAAAAATAGTCTCGTTATGCTGGTTATAAGTTATTATTACAACGCAATAGCGTGAGTAGTAAAGCAATTCTTCGTATTTGTAACATTTAATCGTAAATCTATTGTAGGCTTAACTTATTTAAAAAAAAAGTACGGTTGATGTGATCCTCTCAATACTGAACATGCTTATGAGTTATAAAATGCTTGTGGCTTTGGTCAGAGTATACGATAGTAAAAATCCCTCGAATCTACTGCTCGGCCATATATATATCCGCCAACGAAAATATCCCTCGAAGATATCGTATAGATAGCCCTTTACGAACAGACAAAGAGTTATTTTATGAAGTTTAATATTATTTTTTCATACATTTCATTTTTATTGTTCTATTTATTTTTAATTTTATTATATCTTAGTTTTTTATCTATTATTATTTTGCGTATTCAATATTATCAACTCACTGGTCTCTGCCTTATTCAGTCCAATATTCTAGTACACCACAATCGCGTTTTATTTATGTGTTGCATGTACAGAAGTCTATCGCAAATGGGCGGCGCATATCGACTTCAGATTTAAGTTTACTTTTTATTATATGAGAATGGTAACGTATTATTATAAAAAGCTTTGTAATACTCTCGAAAGTTGTAAGATAAATTTTTATTTGGAATTACTTTTTATTTCGGT